TAGAAATATTTCATGTGATAACTGGGTGGACCAACATCAGATTCCTACGCTCTGGCCAGCTGGCTAAGCTACGCTCATCAGGGTACCGCTGTACTGGCTCTGTATCCGAATGTCGGCGATGACTAAAACCTATAGCTGTAACACCTGCCGCCAACTGGTCAGCATACTCCGCCATCTGGTCATATGATAGCCCTCCTGCTCTCATCCCATCACGTAAACCCTGCTCAACGGTCTCCATGCAGTCGTACTGCAATTTAAATGGAAAATATCAGAAATTCCACACATCTAAAAACAATTAAAACACAAATTTTAATTACTAAAAAAACTCACCGCTGCGTTCAGTGCAGCAACTCTCCGTGTGCCTGAACGTCTAGTGACATCTCTATACCACTCTTGATGCTCCGAGTGGTAAGCTAATTCCACGTCACTGTAGCTCGTCTGCGCTACGAACTCATGTCGACGGTTCCACAACTCAATCGACTCGCTGGCTGCCTGTAAGAACTGCTGGCCACGTGATGGTCCATGCTGTCCCACACGAAGAAAAAATCTAATCTCAGCCGCGGAATGTGGAGGATGAGGCCGGTCCTGAACCATTCCAAACTGTCCTAGCACGCGATCTGGATGATGCCACATCTGCGATGAGAAGCAGATCAGCGGAACCACTGCTCGAAACGTGTGGGACTGGATCACAGTACCGCTGTAGTCCAGACCTCTATGAAAGTACGGACGCCACTGCACACAAGGATTGGTCACATAATTACTCCTAAATCTATAATAAATCAATTAAAACTATTCTATAAAACTAAATGTTATATACTAACCACGAATGTCGTGCACTCGTCAAACCACAGCTTGTACAAGTAGAACTGATCTCCATGCTGACGGGTCTGAGCCGGAAGCCACCGAATGCCACGTGGCACTGCGTCCTGAGTAATCTGCGCACCCGTCACCGCATGTAGTGGTGATGTATGAGGAAACCGCTCCCACGTCCAGAGCATCAGCAAGGCGGCCCATCCACCAAAGTCACCACCCAGTGAAGAAGATGCCGTCATCTGCAGCGCCGATCTACCCATCTCACGGTACAAGTAGGATAGCACAGCTGCTCCCCAAGCAAACCTCCCCGCTCTGCGCCAATCCTCTACCAAAAGTAGATACTGCAGGTGAACTGAACCTCCAGACCGATCGGAGAACAAGACACCTCCCATCAGAGACAGCGCATACGCTCTAGCATACTGCTCTGTCGTCTCTGGTGATGCAGAAAGCGGTAGCTCATCGAAAGTATCCCTGAGCCAAGTAATCCGGATGACGCCGCCACCAAGATCAGTAGGAGCCTGTCCTAACAGTCGAAGACACATAGCCGACCAGTCCTCGTCTGGTATGTCTACTATGACGGCATCACCGTCGATCGCTAATCCAGTGAGTGTCGCAACGTCCTCTAGAGTGATCGTCACCTCACCGAACGGCATGTGAAATGTCGATGTCTCGGGTCTCCAACGCTCTACGAGCGCAGTAATCAAACCCGGATCACCGGTAAGAGGGGCTAGTGGCAGAACACTAGACAAGCCGGCATCGACGAGATACGGCAGGTACAGTGGATTGTATCGAACTAAATTGCCCGTATGACGAATGTGGTATGGTCGATCACCAGCCTATAATTAATTAATGCACAAAACTATATTAATTCAATTCCTTCAATATAATATTATTAATTTAATCTAATTCTATTCTTAATTTTTATATATCTAAACTAAACTTATTCTAATATAATATTCTTAATTTAATCTAATTCTATTCTTAATTTAATTTAATTCTATTCTATTCTATTTCTATTATACCGCTAATAAAAAAAACTATAGAAATAATTTAATTTAAAAAACTTACCTCATTTGCCCAAACTGCGTCAATCCGATGGTGACCATGCCCCCAAAGAAGTTCCGGATCATTCGGAGCAGTATCGATTGTCGTAGGTGGTGGTCTCATCGAACAAGGATCGATAAGCCTAGGAACTGAAGAAAAAAAATGTTAGACAAAAAAAAAAAAAAAAAGTCGCCGGAAAAAGTCGCCGCCGGCGAGAAGCCGGCTGCCGCCGGCAATACTCACTCCGGTAACGTTCGCCGCCGCCGCCGCCATCACCGCCACCGCCGCCACGCCGACCTCGCCGGCCTCGGCCTCTTCCTCTGCCGCCGCCGGGGGCCTGCTCGTCGTCCGACATTGCGCCGCCGCTAGAGAGGTGGCGACTTCGCCTAGTGCCGCGCGCCGCCGCCTTGGACTGTGGCGCTGCCGCCTTTTTCTCGGCGTCGCCGCTTGTTCTTGGCGCTGGGATGGAGAGAGGAGTGGAGAGGGGAGGAGGTGGGATGGGTCTGGTCTGGTGTGGTGCGAGAGGGGGAGGGGGGAGGAAGGGGGTAAAAAAAAATTAAACTTGACAGCGACAGCGCCTCGGTCTCGGGCTTTGGCGCCTCTTAAAATTTTTGAAATTTCAGAAGGCGCCAAAGCTCGGGACTGGGGCGCCGTCGCTATCAACAGCGTTTAAAACTTGAATTTCTAAGTCTCGGGCGCCGTCGCCGACTTTCTTCCTAAAAACACAATATTCTTGTAAATAGTTTTAAAACCACTATATTCCTGGTAAATTAAAAAAAAAAAACAATATTCATGGAATTAACCCGCTTGTAGTAGGGGCAATACCAGATAGTGAATTTGGGCCTCAGTGGCGGTCTATTATTCGAGTGAAGCCCAATTTAGGATTTTGCGTACAAAATAGCCTTTTCTGGTGAAAGCTTATTTAGCTCCTGGGCCTAACTTATTAGTAGTCTGTATTGATATCTGAACTCGGTAATAGAAATGAAAATTAGTTTTACTCACAGACAAAAATTAAAAAGAGATTATAGCAAAAAAAAAAAAAAAAAAAAAACAAGAGATCTGTACCAATAAGAAACACTATCATTTTAAAAACATCAATACTACCTCAAAACAAATCAATGCCATTGCCAGTACATACGGCTCAAGATAGGGTGCATAACCATGGGTTATGCACCCATCAATAACCAAATCTGGACCATTCATTTAGAAAATCCAGATCTAAGGATGGAGAATTAAAGACTATTTTTATTTTCACTAGCTTTCTGAATTGACTCATATCTTTTTCGTTTTAACTCGGATTTTAATTTTTTTTTGCACAGATGGAACAAGTTCACCGTGCTCTACAAAATGAGATCTATTTTCAATATTTTTTTAGGAAAAAAAAATTCTGGTCTCTCGGTACCAACTGCATACCATATGGTATCTTCTTCATTTTTAATTCGTTTTTGAAAACGTTTGCACAGCAGGGATGAGTTCATCATGATCTACTGGATCTACAAATTTCTGGGTGAACAAATTACAGGACCAAAAAATACCACACAATACCATACAATACCACCATGGTACGGGGTGGTATTGTATGGTATCTTCTTCGTTTTTAATTCGTTTTTGAAAACGTTTGCACAGAAGGGACGAGTTCATCATGATCTATTGGATCTACAAATTTCTGGGTGAACAAATTACAGGACCAAAAAATACCACACAATACCATACAATACCACCCTGGTACGAGGTGGTATTGTGTGGTATACAATGTTAAAAGTCGTAAATTACAATTAATATACTTCTACTATCATGTATTCAACCATCCTACAGTATTGGTTTGTTCATATCACCATGGTACGTTTTTCAAAACATAGGTATGCTTTTATTTCAATACCAGTCAATATCATATGGTATAGGCTGGTAAAAAATGGCTCAATTTTTTTTGTTCGAAAAATATAGTAAAGTGGATATCATTTTGAAGAGCACAATTAATCTGATCTAACTGTGCAAAAAAAATTAAATTTCGACTTAAAATGAGCGAGAAATCGTCCGTCAAAGATTAAAGAGGGAAAAATTAAAGGCTTTCCATGAGAGAGATGATGCTGATATCATGCTGATGTGGATGGGTTACTCATGGTTACTCACCATAAGGTTACTGACTTGATCCATTCCCCAGTACATACAAAAAAAAACATCATTTTAAATTTTAACGCGAACCAATATAACTCGACGCTTACTAAACATTCCCAATCGAAGGCCAAGTTTCACAAACGATCAGGTGTAGCATAGGGTAAACAAGTAATAAAAATATCGAACCACAGGTCTATAAATTTACCTTATTTCGGCTTAATTTCGTTATCTAGCCAAACAAGAATAGTGATAAAGAAACTAATCTAGCTAAACTAACCTAACCACTACCCTAGCTAATTACAAGTTTGTGGAGCTCTCTTACCTTAAACCCCCCTAGTTTCATCATTCGGACCGATGTTGCGTACTATCCTAAGTAGCTCGATCAACTCAATTTCTCTACTAATAGGAGATAGACTCCCTCAGGCCTCAGGTATTCACCTGAAATGGTGTAGCGATGAATTGGTAGTGTTCCACTATTGCACTACTTTCGTCTACAGTCGGGAAGCGTGCCATTGCTTCAACCCTACAAAGTTTCGATGCTTAATCATAAATTTTTTCAGTCGAAAAATATTTTTCCCCGGGTCATAAATTTCTCTACCAACACACATTAGTTTGATATGTTTGGATTCTATATTTATTCGTAACTGGCTATTCCGTTCGAGAATGAGAATGCATTTACCTTTTATTTATGACTAGCTTTGACCCGGTCCATTGGTCAGATTAATTTAATTTACTAATTATGTAATAGGGGAGAGAGTTAGAGCAGAAAAAACATTTATGTGGGTCGAACTCACAATTTGAATATATTTGAGTCCATATAATTATTATACTCATAAAGAAATATCGACCATCTAGATATTCGCATTAAACCAATTCACACCTTCATTATCGGTATTTCCACATTTATTTCTGATTTTACATTACCGAATTAGATTTTTAATATATTGTGGTTGGTATAATTTCCATGATATAATAATAATTTTATGTTTTTACCAATGAGTAATAATTAAATATATGTTCATTTGTTTGCCTAGTTGATCTCATCCAGTTGGTGTTTTCTCTCTCTATCTCCGCAGTTCCCGGTTTCCATTCTTTCTGTCCCTCTGTTTAGTGTTTACGAAGGGGGCGCGAGGAGAGAGAGAGAGAGAGAGAGATGCCGAAAAGCTGAACGCAGCGAGCCAACCGAGAAACAGAAATACCCGTTGTAAATACCGAAGCTATAACGCCATTAACCAATAACAATGGCTGCCTGCTGAAACTCCGTCGACCATCTCCGTCTCCGACGCGATTACGCTCCGCCTCCTTCCCCCAAAACATCGAAGATTCGCGCTCCCCGCACATTTTGCAACCCTCACCTATCGGGATTTCACCGCCTCCTCTCCTTGTAAATCCTCTCTCTCTCTCCCTCTGTTCTGTTGTCTTCGGCTCTTGTTGGATTGCTTTCTTCTGATCCTTCCCTCTCTGTGATAGTTTCTTTTCTTCTTTTTCTGCGAATCCAGTGAGATCAAGGAAATTGTGTTCCTCGAGAGATCATGAGGAATAGTATGAATTTCTGAATCATCTGTTTGGTTCCTTCGAGAAGGAGAGGGAAAGAGTAAACAAGATAATCGCCAATACGCATTTGACGTTTTCCATTCATCGACCTTTTTTTTTTCTGTAGTGAAAGGAAGATAAACCAGGCACTCTTAACGCTTGATCTGTGCTTAGTGGGGTTGATTGTTTTGCCAGAAGTTCATAATTTAGTGTGTGTGGCATTTGAAAGTTGACAGTGTTTGCCCCCTTTTTTTTCTAGGGTTTTATGTGCATGCTTGTTTCTTCGATGATCATATGATATGATGTTTTTGAAGTGTATGTGGTTTAGAGACCAAAAAATCCCATACTAAGACCAGAAAATCTTCATTTGCGTTTCCCATTGTTGGTCGAAGTATCGTGGATCCGTCATATTGGTCAATAGCCGATATCAAGTCGCGATTTTTCGGTGTTTCATTTAAGCATTTTTCTGCTGTATTTGATCCTATTGTGGAACTTCTAGTGCTTAATGATGTTTGCTTTGTTTCACTTGTGCAGGTTCTCGGGTTATTTTGGTATTTGGGTCTCTTGATTGCTCATCAGACCCCGAAATCCTTAAAAGGCCCCTCAGATGGTTGAAACACATTTGGTTGTACTGTGAGGTAGATTGTGTTCTCTAGAGATCCGTTTTGCCTCAATATTGTGATACTGTAACCTTCCGCTTCTTCATTTCGAGATGGATTCAGATTCTTTTGCACCTTGCCTAGAATCAAGATGTAATTTCGGGTGGTTTGTTCTGTTTTTTTTTTGTCACTAGTAAAGACTATAATAATGGTCTTGGTTCTAATTAAGCATGTCTTATGACAATGTGTTAAAACTGGTATCTGGTCCTTTGGGTTGCTTCTAGAAAGCAGAGTTTTTGTCTCTGTAATTTGCTTTCTTGATGTTATTTCAAGCTAAAGGTTTACGGAATAGGATCAGCTTCTCTTTCATTGTGCTGTTTTGTGCTAGGATCATAGATTTATTGAAACCTTGATATTCTGAAGATCCTACTTAATCATATATGTATAAAAAAGAGATTTCATAGCTAGACTTGGGAAGCATGGAATGCACAATATCCATGTTACTTTGAAGTGCAAGGCGATCTGCATTTTTAGATCCTATTTAAAAACCTACGCTTTACACTTCTAGGTCATCAAAACGCTTCTATGTAGAATCACGCTTTTCACTTACATCTGTAGTCAAAATCTACGCTTTAAAGCTTACGTTTTTACTTTTCTATGTCACCAAACCGCTTCTATGTAGAATCACGATTTTTATTGCATTGCTTAGAGATAATATATATGAGCTAATGTTGCTTTTAAACAAATTATGCTGCTGTGAGCTGGTTTGATAAAGTTTCTGAAGCTTTGTTGCATTCTTGGCTTGGTCATAGCCCATAGGCATTAAGGTCATATATTGAGATGGAACCACGTACAAAAGAAGCTTCCCCTACTGTGAAAGCGGAGGCAGGCGAAGACACTACTCCTAGCTTCAAAGATTATGTCCATCAAGCCATTCAAAGGATCATTGATATTTCTTCTTCCTCAGAGGAGGATGACTCTGATGAGCCTCAAGAGGATGTGGAGGATAGCCAAGTTCAGGAAAATCATGCCAACAAACAGCTAGTGCTCTATGATCCTGGTGCAAGCAGTAATAACAGCGAGCTTGACACGAATCCTCAACCAATTCAGAGCAGAGCCCCAATGATTACAAGATATACCCCTCGAGTTATGCCTAAAGTTTTGCCATCTGTAGGTGCTTTCACAGTTCAATGTGCCAAGTGTTTCAAGTGGAGGCTCATCCCAAGAAAGGAGAAATACGAAGAAATACGCGAACATATACTGGAAAGACCGTTTTATTGTGAAGCAGCTAGAGAATGGAGGCCTAACGTATCATGTGATGATCCAGAGGACATTTCCCAAGATAGCGGCAGGCTCTGGGCAATTGACAAACCGAATATTGCCCAGCCACCTCCGGGATGGCAACGGTTACTACACATCAGGGGCGAAGGCAGTACCAAGTTTGCTGATGTGTAAGTCTATTTCTTATTTTTATTCTTGGTTTCTCTTCCTGTTGGAACAACTTATGGGCGCTTTGAATCGTCAATTTGAACTGCAACTTAGACATGATAAGTTCCCTTTTGAGAGATGATATGAGAGCCTTTAGATTGATGAGCCTTGATGGTATTGCAGTTGCACCTGCATGTGATTGGAGATTCATTGAAATATGTTTTCATTATGTTTTCCACTCAAGTATGTTTCCCAACAATATCTTTCAGGTACTACATGGCACCCTCTGGAAAGAAACTTCGCTCTTTCGTTGAGGTACAAAAGTAAGTTGGCTTTACTCTGGTTGCAACAGTGAGAATGTTATTAGAAGCTATTATTATGTATTAAGGGTGAGAGTACTTACTCTTCAGAGAGAGATATATAGGTGCGTGTTTTTCTTTTTAACCCTTAATGTTGCAGGTACTTGGCTGATCACCCTGAATTTGCCGAAGGATTATCCATGTCGCAATTTTCATTCCAAACTCCAAAACCTTTGCAAGAAAACTATGTGAGGAAGCGTCCTCGTTTACCCCCTCAAACTGATAATCCCAGACTTCTACCACCAACGGAAGGTACATGCAGAAAAAGAACTGAGATATTTGTGTCATACTAGCTTCTTGGTTATGGTTGCTGCTAACTGAATAGTAAGAACTAAAAAGTGACATGAATCTGCTTGTCCATACATTGAGTGAAAAACTTCATTGCAGTGAAAATTTTGCTGACTTGCTGAATAGAAATCATTCCAACTAATATTCCCCATTTTTTCCCCCCAGTGACTCCTCTCTCAATGGTTCGTCCAGAGAATTATGTAGATCTGCAGCTTGGTATGCCGCCGCTCTTGCCTCAGGAACCTGCTTCTGATTCTGCTGGTCAACCAGCAAAGAAGCCAAGAGCTTTCTGGAAAGACATGTACTGTGATGAAAGTTCAGTTTATAACAACCAATGTCAGCCAACGGTAGGAGAGCCAAGTCAATCTGTAAATGATGGTTTGAGTCTTTGAACTCTTTCCTCCACAGAAATCCTTGCATGCCTTGGTTACAATATTTTTTGTTCACAGGCTTTATCTTTTGTTTACTGGAACGAAAGAAACCTATATCCGAGCCCAGGAAGGCACGGGGTCAGCCTGTGAAGCATAGATTGTATTGTTTAGTGTTTGTGGAAATATATAGTTTGTATTCTCTGTCAAATCTCTATCATCTTCTCTCTGAACTTTCTTTCTCTACAAGCCTGCAACTTTCTACCATTCCATGCCCAGTTGCTGTTAAAAGAGACGTCGACTACTTTGCTCTTGGCAATAATGGCTTTCGGCCAATGTCAAGGATCGACTGATCGAGTCCCTACAAGCTCAGCGACAAGACCGCGATTCATTATTCGAGCAATCTCGTTCCTTCGTCCTTCGGGCTCATTTGTCCGAGTAATAAACTGCCTCAAAGTCGGATAATCCAAGTGTGCCAGAACCCAAGAGTATGACGCAAGTGATCAATGTCCTGAAATTTTCAAAGCTTGATGAGTCGAGCATTAAGCATTGCTGGAAACCCTTTTAGAGACCTCTTGGCTTCATTGGCAAAAACAATGCACTGTCAAAGGTTAAAATTGACTGCCACGTAGAATGAACTTAACAGAAAATGAGAATCAATGACCGACGATGAAATGAAGTTTGAAGAAAGAAAAACATTTTAAGTGATAAACGAGCTTTTTTTTTATAAACCGAATGACCAAACATGTAATTTACCTTTATCTCCGTGAAAAATGGCTCTGCACGAAAACCAATATTTTCCCTATTTTCCCGTAACGGATCAAGAATTTAATCCACATTTCAATATTTCATTATCCTGAAACATGAAACGGAAATCTTTTATCAACTTGAAAAAAAAAAAAGACTCAAGTATCAACAATTCCATCTTTGTCTTTTGAAACGTCAGTACGTCACCATTTTCCCCTTTTTCGCTCAACGGAATTCCCATACGAGATTCACGTAACCATCTATTTGATCATGGACGTCCTTGCCGAATCCAAACAACAACAACCAAACTTTTTCATATCAGGACAAAAAACAATCAATCAAACAGAAACAGTTTTTTTCCCCCTTCTTCAAACATGATTTTTCTCCGCTAAACGAAATTCATATCCATTTTCTCGAGCCAGAGCCGCCTCTCTCTTTTCGCAACCTCTCGATTGTGAAGAAGCTACAATGGCTACTACTGCGCCCCTGGTGTTTGCGTACTACGTCACTGGCCACGGATTCGGCCACGCCACCCGCGTCGTCGAGGTAAAAAAAAGAATGGCGACCTGGTTTCCGCGTTGGCGGGAATGTGGTTTTGAAATTTGCTTCGATTTGACGATTGAAATGATCGATTGGTGTTTTGATGCGTAATTGCAGGTGACGCGCCATTTGATCGACGCCGGCCATGTGGTCCACGTCGTCACCGCCGCGCCGGACTTCGTCTTCACTACCGAAATTCAGTCGCCCAACCTCTTCCTGCGCAGGGTTTTTTCAACTTTCTCTCTTTTTTTTTTTCATTGTCAGCTGCATTGCCTGCATTTTGATTGGTGGCTCGTCATTTTGCCTCCCTCGAGATCTCGCAAAGTGCTTCAGAGCTTGTTTTAGTTGTCGCAATTGGAAAGTGACTGTGAGGTCTCTTGCGCGCTGCCTTGCAGGTATTGTTGGACTGTGGAGCTGTTCAATCAGATGCGCTCACGGTTGATCGTCTTGCCTCTTTAGAGAAGGTGCGCTTCTGTTTTATTGCTCTCAGTTGCCTTAAGGAGCGATTCTGGCTGGTTTGATTTTGTTATGTTTTTATCACTGGTGCATGCAGTACTCCCAGACAGCTGTGATTCCCAGGGAGTCTATTTTAGCATCAGAAGTTGAGTGGCTCAAGTCCATTAAAGCTGACTTAGTGGTAACTTACAACTTTTTTATTTTCGCGTTTCTAATCAGCCCGTGGCTCTATGAATGATTTCAATATGTTTAAGATGTTTGGTGAATTCAGTCTCAGTAGTCTTTTTAATGGAGCAGGTTTCAGATGTCGTGCCTATTGCATGCCGCGCAGCTGCAGATGCAGGAATTCGTTCCGTCTGTATCACCAACTTCAGGTGAAGTGGGGTTTTTGATACTTCACAGATAATAATATATTGAAGTTTTGCTATGAGACATTGATTCTATTGCTGGGTACCGGGTAGAACCTGCTTGTGGTCCAGATATGTCTACTTGCTTTAGTCGGATATCTGATATCGTTTATTGGGATGTTACAGTCTGAGTGTTGTGTTACCTGTTTCTTTGCGTCATGAAAGTCCACAAGTTGCCACAATTTTCTATTGGTTGTTTTGTTCCCATATTTAGGAGTGATTTATTTTGCACCTGGTCAACATTAATGCTGTAGTTATTATGCTATTCATCGTCTTAATTGATCTCAACACATATCCTCTACGTTCCTCTTTTTTTATTTTTGATGTTGCTATCTAATCCCGTTTACATTTGATTAGACTAAAGCCAGGTCACTTGAATGACATTTTCTTTCACTCTTCTTTCGTTTGCAGCTGGGACTTCATTTATGCTGACTATGTGATGGCCGCCGGGCATCACCACCGGTCAATTATTCTGCAGGTACTGGTTCAGATTATTCTTCTATATAGCATTCTTCTGTTTGGAGTTGGAAAATTGAAACCTAATGCAACTGCCTTCCATTTGACGAATGCGAGGGAGCTTTGTTGTCATCAAGCATAAGTAATTAAGTATTACTTTCCTTCTTACTTCTTAAGAGTAGTTTATCATTTTCGACCCAGAATGAGGTTAACGGGTGCAAGAGTCACTGCCACTTTTGTTCCCTGATTTTTAGAAGAAAAGATTTGTTACATATTCCGCTCGAACTTTGCTGCAATTCCACTTTACTGTGTCCTGTTTTGCTTGCTGGAATTTGGTATCTAATAAAGATGTATTTATCAATCTTATATCTACCATAGTCATCTAGTACTCAATTTCCAGAGGAAGAATGGGCATCACTCATCTTTTCAAGTGACTTTGCAGATTGCTGAAGATTATTCTCATTGCGAATTCTTAATTCGCCTGCCAGGATTTTGTCCTAGTAAGAATATGAAAAATTTCCTTTAAATTACTTATCCCAAAAATGAGAACCATGTCATTTGATTTTTTTTTCTTTTTAACTCCTGGATCAGATTTATCTCAGTAGCTTGCTTCGAAAGAGGTTTCTTTGATGTGCATAATGTGTGTCTTCGCCTGCCCCTACCCTTGTCTACTTGGTTATATATTTTCACAAAACATTTGTTTGTCATCTTGCAGTGCCAGCTTTCCGTGATGTGGTTGATATTCCCCTTGTGGTGAGGCGGTTGCACAAGAGCAGAGAAGAGGTTTGGGCATAAAGCTACTCTGTGGAACTACAAACTCCCACCAATAGCAGCACAGACGATTGCTATTCATTTCACAACTTCCCTGTAATGCAGGTGAGAAAGGAGCTTGGAGTTGGAGATGATGTGAAGCTGTTGATTTTCAACTTCGGAGGGCAGGTGAGTGGTATTCTTATTTGTTGTAATTGACATATTGTTAATTACCATGTCAGATCATGTTACCCTGCTTGCTAATGACCTTTTACATCCCATATATTGGAGTGTATTCCCAGAAGCTCCCCATTAGCTTGCCTTGATTTTGCAAGCTCCTAACATGGTTGTGTCCAGCTTATTGCCCGCTTATCCTTGTTGTTCTTAACGGACACATTATTTTCAAATAGATTCAATTGTTTTTCTTGCTGCATAGATTTTCTTTTCCAATGCTATTAAATTCTCATTGCTGCATAGTTTTCTTTTTCTTTCTCAATACAAGGAAGGAATATCACAGTCAATTGTAAGTCATCACATGCTTGGTTACTGGTTTAATCCTGACTGTTCATGTGCTTTTCCATTATCTGCTACTTGCAGCCAGCTGGTTGGAAGCTAAAGGAGGAGTATTTGCCAACTGGTTGGAGGTGTTTGGTAAGTCTTTTTCCTCTTTCAAAATCAAAGAAATGCATTCCCCTGGCAGAAACTGGTTGTTAAGCAATCTTGCAATCAAAACAGGTATCCTTGCTTTGTACAGCCTCTGGAATAAGTGCACATCTAGTTGGTCACAAATATTATATGCCATAATAGTTCACGTTAAACAGTTTCCATGAGTTCTCTTTGTGGTTCAGGTAGTAGGCATATTGAGTATATTTCCTATGTGAACTATTTAGTTTTTTCTTGTAGGAACTTACTTTTTGCTTTTCTTTCTTTTTTTCTGCTGTTAAATTGGATATAGGTGTGTGGTGCATCAGACGATCAAGAACTTCCCCCCAATTTTATCAAGCTTCCAAAAGATGCATATACACCTGATGTAATAGCAGCTTCAGATTGCATGCTTGGTAACTCGGTTGCGCTTTTGTTCCAATAAAGACCGTTGAGGCTTTCTAAATGTTCTTATCTAGACTTTCTCATCTCAGGAAAAATTGGATATGGTACATCTAGTGAGGCCATGGCTTACAAGTTGCCATTTATCTTTGTACGGAGAGATTACTTCAATGAAGAACCTTTTTTGAGAAACATTATTGAGGTGGAATTTTTGTTCATGTTTGTTGCATGAATTGTGTTTATTTGCTGAATTATATTGCCCTCGATCATATTATGTTTATTGTTTTCCTGACTTCAGCATTACAAAGGTGGTGTGGAGATGATTAGACGTGATCTGCTGAGTGGATGCTGGCAACCCTACATTGATCATGCCGTTAGCTTGAAACCATGCTACAATGGGGACATTAATGGTGGCGAGGTGCGATTTTCAGGAATTTTCTAGCTGATGAGCCTTAGTGTAACGGCATCACAGATTTAGTGCAGCGAGCACTGATTCACATCTAGATATTTGTATAGAATGTATTTGCTAAATATCTTTGTTCAGGTAGCTGCAAGCATACTGCAGGACACAGCTCATGGAAACGTCCATACTAAATATAAGGTAAATTCTAATTTTCCCTACTTGTTCTTCATATTATTTATTTGTTTAGGGTTTTATGATATGCTATGTCCTCTGTATTATGATTTCTGATCAATCTTCAGTAACTCATGATAGTAATTTACCTTGAATTCTTTGTTTGGCTAGAAAGCATGGTTGTCATCAGTTATTTTTTGCTGATGAAATAATTTTTCTGTTGCTCTTACATTTCATATTTGGATGAAACTTCAGTTTGCATAACTCATTTGAATCTCTCTTTCCCTAAAACATGTATTCTTGTACTGCAGCCTTGTGGAGCAAGACGACTACGAGATGCAATAGTGCTTGGATATCAGCTAAGAGGAATTTCGGAACGGCAAGCCAATGTTCCAGATTGGTATGTCCATGCACCATTGCCATCGCAGGAACACGACCAGTCCAAAGAAGAAATGTAGGTTCTTTATTATCATCATTAAGATATTTGCATGTATTATTATTGTTGTTGTTATGCCTTTTTCTCCAACCCTTTACATTAAGATCTTCTGCTGGGAGACAACTGCTGTTGCACATTTATTCTTTCGAAGAAAATGACTTCTAGATACTTTTCTACGCTATTTTTAGCTTTTCTAACTTTTTAGCTTTGCTCTTTCTGCTTCTTTTACGATCTTACAGGCATATACCAGATTTTGAAGTTCTCCATGGGGACCTTCAAGGTCTTTCAGATACTGCTAGTTTTTTGAAGGCTTTGGGAGAGCTTAGTGCTATTGACTTTGAAAGGGATAACAAGGACCAGTTGCGGGAGCGTCTAGCGGCCGCCAGGCTTTTCAATTGGGAGGTGACTTTCTGACCTGTTCTTCTTGCTCTGCATACTATTAACTGGATTCATTTTAGAATGAACTGGTTCTTTGAAATTCATACCAAAGTTTAGTAGCCATGTTCCACTTCCTCTCTGTGTAAGTATGTGCAGACAAGTGGGGTCCAAATGGCGGGATATAGGGAGTTATGGTAATAATATATTGCCTGTGGTCTGTGGAAGAGACTGATACTACACCTTAAAGGTGTTAGAAATGATCAGACATGAACTTAGAATGATATATGGCTTAGGAGCTTGACTTCGTCTGTCTGTGTGTGCAAAATGTGGAAACGAGTTTGTTGCTCATATGATTATGTTGCATAAAGCAGTGTAAACACAGTATCATTTATAGGCGTTTCTCCTGGGGAAAAAGTGAAAAAATAAGACAGTACCCTGGTTATCAGGTCCTAATAGTAGGAATAGCGTTAATTGTCTGGCGACACCATAAATTGTAACCTTGTTTGGTAGTACAGGAGGAAATATTTGTTGCGAGAGCACCTGGCAGATTGGATGTGATGGGAGGAATTGCAGATTATTCAGGAAGTCTTGTTTTGCAGGTTATATCATTTCCCCTTTATTTCATTTTTCCAAATTATTTTATGCTCCTTGGCTCCTGAAATGACCAGATTTTAGGCACACAATGTTTGGGAAATTTATGCGGGAAAGTTATATATTTACCTAACATGAGCTGCATCGCAGATGCCTATAAAAGAAGCATGCCATGCTGCTGTCCAGAAAAACCATCCTAGTAAGCAGAAGTTGTGGAAGCACGCACAAGCTAGACATCATAGTGACCGTGACAAACCAACACCTATTCTAGAAATTGTATGATCGGGCTCTTTGAAGCATTTCACCTTTATGCTTAACTCTTCCATATCTCTCATCATTGAAGTTCATTTGAGATCTTGATGCATAATAAGCAGTTCACTAAAGTGTATCACTTGAGCATCAATGTGGAATTGTAATTTAAAATAATCCGAGTCCAGCAGTGCAATCGAGCATGGCTTGAAACACCAGTAGTTTCAGTTCCTACAGTGTTTGGTATATGTTCTTTTCTGATTTCTAATACTTTTAGCTTTTGACTTCTTCAGGTGTCATTTGGAGCAGATTTGAGTAACCGTGGGCCAACATTTGACATGGACATATCTGACTTTATGGATGGTGAGCAGCCAATTTCTTACGAGGCTGCACGCAAGTACTTCTCTCGTGATACTTCCCAAAGGTTCGCTCCGCACATTTACTAGAGTGTTAGTCTCCCTGGCAACTTTATAACGATTTTGCTGGTTTGAACATTCTAGGTGGGCAGCGTATGTTGCTGGGGCAATTTTGGTACTGATGACTGAGTTGGGAGTCCGTTTTGAGGACAGCATAAGCATTGTGGTTAGTCTCTCTCTCTCTCTCTCTCACCCGTCTTTTCTGTATGCTTTACTGCTTTTTATCCAGAATGATTTTACTAATGCGCTTAATTATTCAGTAATGCCCTATGTGTTTTTTTTTGGGTGCTGTGTGCAATGCACCTTCAGTAGCTGTACTGTTAGCAAGTTTCTTTTGCATAGACCGATTATTTTCTTCTAGTAGATATTGCGTTTGCCTCTTTCATTGAATTTTCTACCACATTTCAGATATCTTCTGCTGTTCCTGAGGGAAAAGGTGTTTCTTCTTCAGCAGCAGTCGAGGTTGCAAGCATGACTGCTATCATTGCTGCGCATGGTGATTACTGGGATTTGAATATTAATGAACTTACTATGCAATTTATTTGATTTATTGTCTGCTATAATTATCATCTAATGCTCTAGTCAATCTGCAGTTCGATATTGTCTGGCTGATAAAATTCATGATTGAACTGTATCAGTAATCAAATTTCAGATTTGTGGTTTGTGTTTAGCATCCCAATTGTAACTGGCTCACTCTGGTTTGTTTTCTAAATGCAGGTTTGAAGATCGCCCCTCGAGACATCGCTTTGCTCTGTCAGAAGGCACGATCCATTGGCTTTCCATGCTGATAACCTTCTTCCAGTCTCGAGTCTATTTTTCTTTGTGGGGATTATTTGCCCATTCCATTTCTGTACTTTCAGGAACTTCCATTGAGGATTTTTATTGAGCTGTAGTTATCTGCAGGTAGAGAATCACATCGTTGGAGCCCCATGCGGAGTGATGGACCAGATGGCTTCAGCATGTGGTGAAAAGAACAAGCTTCTTGCTATGTTGTGCCAGGTAACAGCTGCCTATACTTAATTCTGCTCATGTTAATCACTGTCAAACGCTACTGCCTCATAACATTAGTCTGTTTACTTTTCAGCCAGCTGAGGTGTTAGGATTGGTTGATATTCCTTCCCATATAAAATTCTGGGGGATCGACTCGGGTCTTCGACACAGGTATATCATGATATTCTCTTTCTTTTTGTGAGCCTTAGCACATTGGAGTCATTGAAAATACAGTTGGCCCTAAGTCTATTTCTCATGATGTACTTGAATACTGTATTGTTTGAACGTAAAGAGCTAGTTGATTTTTCTTCTCACAGTAAGTAAAACAGGGGCTTCAACTCACCTTCAAGTCATAACTGAAAGTCTTGATTTCTTGTCTCTTCTAGTGTTGGGGGTTCAGACTATGGTTCGGTGAGGATTGGTACTTTCATGGGCAGAAAGATGATGAAGTCAATGGCCTCTAGCAAAGTAGATGAATATAACTCTGATGAGACGGGAAGGAATAGCACCGAACTGCTCGAGGCCGAGGCTTCATTAGCCTACTTATGCAACCTGCCACCTCACAGGTATGTGAAGTCATTTCTGGTCAGAAGTTCTGGCTGGCAAACACTTGAACGCTACACAAATAATCAAGCATAGGACAAGTATGGTAAATGGTTCTAGTATCAAAGTTATGTTACTATTTTCATCTCAAAACCACGTCCTTTCCACACAAATCTATGTGCTCCTTAATATTTGACTTGATGTCTTTTCCTTCTACAGGTATGAAGGTGGATATGCAAATAAGCTTCCAGAACGAATCACTGGTGAAGAATTCTTAACCAAATACGGAAGTCATGATGATCCTGTCACTGTAATCAACAGAGATCTGAGTTATGCTGTTAAAGCGCCTACTGCACATCCTGTTTACGAAAACTCCCGAGTCAAGGTTGGCATTATCATTCTCCAAACGTATCTCCAAGTTTTCATCACATTTCCTTTCGTATCTATCGAGTTTTCAGTTCCACGGGTGTATGCTGGCTTGATCTGCAGGCTTTTAAATCGTTGTTAACAGCCGCTGCCTCCGATGAACAACTTTCAGCTCTAGGGGAGCTTATGTATCAGGTTTTGTGTATAAATAGTGCCATTGCTTCACAACTAAACTAATAATCCAGTCTTTAGCAGCAAAAGAGAGGATGCAGTGTCACGAATTAGCTTGTTTGTTGTTCATTTCTCCTGCAGTGCCATTACAGCTATAGTGCATGCGGCCTGGGTTCCGTTGGCACCGACAAACTGGTGGAATTCGTACAGATGATGCGACTCGCTGGGACTCTATACGGAGCCAAAATCACTGGTGGTGGTAGCGGCGGAACAGTTTGCGTTATGGGGGAGAAGAGCGTGAGAAGCAGTGAACAAATTCGCGAGGTATATAAAATTAGCACAATGAGAGAGTACTATCACTACACTACTACCTTGTGAGCTAAGTCAATGTGCCTGCTTTTCCTGCCATTGTTTGTTTACAGAGAGTGAAACTTGCCTAACACGGCTTCTCTTCTCTCTTCCACAGATTCAACAGAGATACAAGAACGCCACAGGGTTCATGCCGTATGTTTTTGAAGGATCGTCGCCCGGTGCTGGCAAGTTCGGTTATCTGAAAATTCGCCGACGCAGCAGCCCCAAGTCAGACTTTGCTGCTGCTTCATCACTAACCGCATCTGCAGAGCATTGAATGGGGGACCATGTTTGAACTCCAAAAGGTCCATTAGAAAAGGGAAGGAAAGGTAATCGATAGCCTAATCGAATACTCATACCGTCATTACACTGATCAATAAGATTACGAACACTCCTACCAATCTGCTGAAAGCAGCCATTCTGTTCATTGAAACGGTTGGTCTTAAAATTAACTGTTAATCCAGTTCCACTCCATTTTTACTCCTGTAAATGTACTTATACTGAATCAAGAAGACATCAAAGAAATCGTGGATGGAACATAAGTCACGACTTGAAAACTGTACCACTTAGCTTCGATCGCAAGGCGGTATCTGTCTTCAGCAACACGAGGATCGACGACGCGCAGTTTCTCGTCGCCGCCTACCACGAAACACCTCCCCTGTTTCCAAAGCGCAGGGACGCCGTAGAACAGCTTCGAGGAATACTCGGGGAGACCGGACACTGCAAACAGCTTGATCCACGAGCATCGAGACCCGAGCTCGTCGTAGTCCAATGCCGCCCATATCTGGTACGAGCAGTGCATCGATTCGAAGCTCTTGCCCGGGGACACAATGCCCACCAGCGACTCCTTCACGATGGACACCAACAGGAGGCGTCGATCCGCCGCATCGTCGTCGTCACCAGGTACGCGCAGCCTGATCACCTTGAACTTCTCGTCGCTCATGTCGAACGAAGCGAGAGTGATGAACCGATCGATCGAGTGCAGCTGGTTGCGAACTGCCCAGTGACATTTGCGGTGAAGATTCGGGGAATGGGATTGGGCGACGTGAATCACATGTTGTTGGCAGGAGATTGTAGGCGGCCCATCGTCGCGAAATGAGCCGTAGCTTTTCGGCCTCCTCCATGAATCCGTATAGACGTAAGCGGCACTGCTGCTTGCTCTGCTACTGGTCACGGCCACAACTTTGTAGTCGTTCGTTATCGGGTCGAATCCGAACCCGACCATCCCGATGTAGGGTTGGCGGTGACGGGTATGCCCAAGGATGTTGCTTGGTAGAAGAAGCGGAGGCAGAATCTTGGTCTCCGAAGTTGTGGGATTCCACAGCATGATTCTCCTCCGATCATGAATGTGTTTGTTACTGTAAATGCAGAAGATTCCGTGGCAGCAACCGGCGATTGTGGGAGAGATGAGTACGTCTGGGAATTGGGCGGCGGGGATGGTGGGTTGGAGGGTGTGGTAGGAGAGCTGGGAGTATATAGTGGGAGCAGAGGCTCTGCCGCCGCTGCCGCGGCCGCGGACGAATTCTGGGTGATGTTCCTGAGAGCTGCGGGTGATTAGAATCTGAGCGGCGGATTCAATTTGATTGTCGAAGAAGAGGATGTCACGGATAATATTGGGATCGGAGAGAAGACGGTGCCATGATTTGCTGACGCAGCGGGATCGTCCGACGCTTCTCCTACTCCGCAGCCTCTTGAGGATTTCGATTGCTAATTCCTCAGGCAAGCGGCCGTCGCCGTCGCCGTCGCCGCTGCAGGGTTTGGTTCCATGACCGCTTCCGGTGGCTGCCATGATTAGTTAATTGGGACTTCTCGGATTGCCCTGCCTGCGAGCCTTTCATATATACAACTGTAGAAACGCTTTCGGAAGTCCGAACGCAACAAGGAATGGAAAAACTAATGCAGGGTTGAGGGCGGGTCATCTAAACGTTGACTTATGTGCTATTTACTATTACACCCTTATGAATAATATTTCTCCTTTGTAATCCTTGTGAGTTTTCAGTTTTCAGCATTAATTCTATGTTCGGAACTTACGGAAGTTGAGATGATGTACAAATAGTGACTATTTTGATGCACTCACAAAAACAAGTGCGTTCAATGCACCAACTCAAAAACTAGTCTTAAAGTGTCGGATTTTGAATTTTAATTTTTAGAATTAGTGTAATACGATGATATAACATATGATAACAACTAATTAGCGGATTACCCTAAGCCATAGACCTCCAATTTTGAGTTCTATCCCTAACCCCCAAATTGTAAACCCTAACCATGAATCTCTAAACTCTAAATCCTTCGAATTAAAGTAAATCTTTAATATTTTTTTGTGCAAATTCATGTGAGTTATTGTTCATCACATCATAAGTGACGATTGACATCATTTTGACATAAATCGTATGTTTAAAGTGACGGTTATGAAGCGAGTGCACTGAATACAACAAAAAAAGCGAGTGCACTGAAGACGCCACCACACATATATATATACATACATACCAAGTCGATGGGATCGATTTAAGAAACTTGTGATTACGTGCATGATCGCTTGTATCTATTGCAATTGGGGTTTTACCATTGCTCAATTGTTGATTTGACGAGTGATGGAGGTGGCTCATAATGTGAGCGTACTTCTTTATGAAATCTGACAGTTTGTTAGTTTGTCACTTTTTCTCTTGTACGTTTACGTTTAGTCGGTTTTATAGGGCTATCTATTTAGGGGGAGGGACGTATTTTCATCGACAGTTCGATTATTTGTTGACTGTCGTGTCTGGTTTTGCTGTACTTTTTCACTATCTTACAACACGCTACCTATATTAAAAAAATTACATCGATTGGTTTAGAAAGTAAATGTGTGCATACGCCACTTCCTATTTTACTATAGTAGTTGTGTTGTTAATGACATTTTGAGATTGTTTAGTGTAGATCAATATTACATATATAATTGTAGTATGAATTTAATAGTTTGAGTGTCGTAGTTCGAATAAGTATTTTTTTCGCGGCAGTTAATTTGTTAAAGCTTTCATTTTATGTTTTTGAGTTAGCTAATTAAACTTTGTGAAACATTAGGGGTGACAAACGGTAAGTCGGTAAATCGTTTACCGGCGGTATCGGCAGCCGAGGGTCAAATGGGGAAGCTCGGTCTACCGGCCTCAGTATTGATAAATACTGACGGTAATTCGGTAATACCGATACCGGACTAGTTACGGCATTAACTAATAACATATACTTCATTATTCACAAATATTACATACATGAATGGAAGTAAGTATAGGCCTAAAAATATTATAAATAAGAGTTAATAATAATTTATTAATTAGAAAAATGAAGAAAAGACTAAGAAATATCAAAATATTACAACATCACCCCATTGCCCAGAAATTCGGTTTGGTAATTTTCCGGTAAAACGAACCGAAAAACCGTCCGCAACTACTCCTTACAGTAAGTCGGTAAAATCAGTTTCTAACCGTTTACCGGCAATTCGGTAACCGGTAAACCGGTATCGGTAATCAATTCCCAATTACCCACACTACTATTATTGACTTTGCTAAACCTCTCCGATCCCAGCTTTTTGCAGCAAGCGAGGATATCGGCTGCTTCTGGGTGAACCTGAAATATGAGTTTCTCCCCAGTTTCTGCTACCACTGTGGTCGGGTAGGCCACTCGCGGCGAGACTGCTCTTTTGAGCCACCCAGTGGTAAAGAGAAGTTTGGTCCACATATGTCGACCAGGAAGATGGGGCGGAAGGTCTATGAGGATGAGGGTGAAGGCTTTCAGTTTGGCGGGCCTCGGAAATCAGTATGGGTGAATCGCCAGTTCAATGGCCCGGTGCAACAAGCGAAAAATTTCACCAGAGCTCGGAATGAGAAACGGGAAGCAGAGACAGTCGACAAGGATGGGAATAGGCAAGCTGGCTCTGAAGCTTCTGCTCAACTGCGCCAGAGGAATAGAGCCATGCCAAAGCCGCACTTTTCGGGCAGGAAAGCAAGCCCTCGTGGATTTACCATCAAGAAATCCCCCAAGCTCCAGCTGGGGGGTGAGCGCTCGAAGAGAGTTGAGCGGCGTGGAAAGGAAGGGCCGAGCAAGGCGGCAGGCCTGAAATCGAAGAGGACGGGTGCCAAAATTGAAGACAAATCGAGGGGTTCGATGGCTGGTGACCTGGTTGATCACCCCTCGGCTACTGAATCTATCACCCGGCGGCGGCGTCTCCTTCTGGAGGCAGACTCCGATGACGATGCGTTGGAGCTGGATCGGGCGCCGGTCAATTTGGGAGGAGCTGGGATAGATGAAGCAGACTTGGCCCAGTCTCATGGTGGCTGCGAGCCTGCTCCTTGCGTCCCCAGGACAGCAGATGTGGCGGGCCGAGGTAAATTGACCCAGCCCTCTGGTGATAAGTTGGGCCGGGACTCCAGCGTAGGGGATGGGCCAGCCCGCTCGGGCACGGCTGCGGGTGGCAACAAGAAGACGGGCCGGCTGAGAAAGGCCCAGCCACGGAAGCCAGCGGGGCCATCTCCTGTTCGTGACCCAGCAGGGGAAAAGGGCGTGGATCGGGCTGGCGCTGCTTGTGGGCCGGCCCAACATCCTGATTCCATGATGGGGAAAGTTCGGGCCCTGGTCTCGGCGGACTCCGAATCAGATGACGACCCCCATTGCTTTGAAATCATTCGGAGGCCTGCTTCTTCTAAGACTATGGGGCGGAGTGTTACTGCACCCAAAGGGCACATGAGTCAGGTTGTCGCGGCTTTTGAGGCTGGGATGGCCCTTACTGGTGATCAGGCTGTTATCCAAAAGGAACAGGAGGTGGCATCTAAGCCAGTGCAGAAGACCGTGGTGGAGATCGAGACTGAGCACCCAGTTCTGGATGAGTATGGTTCTAATCTTCAGCACCCAACTTTTGGGACGCGCAAAAGGCCTTTGACTGCTTTGGAAGGAGAATTGGGAAAGGATCCAAGTCCAAAGAAACAATTTGTGGAAGATGATGACGCTTTGAATCAGGTGGAGGAAGCCAGCCATAAATGGCCCCAGTCGGATAAATGAGGCTTCTTGCCTGGAATGTGAGAGGAATTGGACCATCCCTCACGTTCCAATCTGCTGTTGGTCTTATTTATTCTAATAAACCGGATCTCGTGTTCTTCTCGGAGACGCGATCGAGCCGGCGTGTAGTGTCCCGTCGTATGCGGGGGTTAGGATTTGCTAGTTCCCATTGTTTCTTTGTAGATGCTATCGACTCTTCAGGGGGGTTAGTTGTGGCTTGGGCCCCTGGAGTTGACACTTCGGTGTTGTTTCATTCCAATTTTTTTATTTGCTTGCAAGTTAATGAAGAAGGATTTTCTTATGTGGTGTTCTTTGTCTACATTAGCTGTAACACTGCTACCCGTGCTATTCAACTAGCCCACTTGAGTGATATTTGTGGAAATATTTCCCTCCCTTATGTGATCATTGGCGATTTCAATGCTACCCTGCACGAGCATGAGAAGGATGGGGGTAGGGAATGGAATGCGGCTCAGGCTGTTAGCATGCGTGAGTTTGTTCATAATTTGGGTCTCCATGATCCCGGATTCCAGGGGGATCAATTCACTTGGACAAACAAGCGTATGGGTGCAGCCTGTATTCGGGAACGCTTGGATAGAGCGCTTTGTTCTCAGGCTTGGATTGACGCTTTTCCGGAAACGTTGGTCAAGCACTTTACTGACCAAGGTTCGGATCATCGTGCCCTGCTCCTTTCGGATAGACCTTATAGTAGAACCGGACGCCCTCTCTTCCGCTTTGATGCCCGCTGGGCGGATAACCCGGAGGTTAGGGCTATGGTCCATTATGTCTGGAAAGAGGATATTCAGGGTACCCCTATGTTCAGGCTTTGGGAACGCCTTAAAAGATTACGCCATCTGCTGTATGATTGGAGTAGGGCGGGAACCACAAATTCTCTGCGAAATATTAAGACGCTTCAGGCGGAGATTGATCGAATCAAAGTAGTTCACCCGGTGGATTGGGATATGGTTCGTACCCTGGAATCTGAATTGTCCCGCCAATGGGACGCTGAGGAGATGTATTGGCAACAGAAGTCCAGGGTTCGTTGGCTAAAGAAGGGGGATCAGAACTCTGCTTATTTTCATACGGTCACGAGAACCCGGCGGAAAAAGAATTTCGTCGCTGGGCTCCGAAGGGATGATGGTGAGTGGATCACGGAGGAAGCTGGGAAAGCAGCCATTGCTACAGATTTTTATCAGTCCCTGTTTACCTCAGAAGCGCATGTCCAGAATATGGCGGAGAGGGTGGCGAGTCTACCGATTGACCGGAGTGTTACTCCGCAAATGAATGCGTGACTGACAGCTGAGGTTCTGCCTATTGAGGTAAGAAGAACGGTCTTTGCGATGGGATCGACTCAGGCCCCAGGCTCTGATGGCTTCACAGGAAAGTTCTTCAAAGCTTTCTGGGATGTTGTGGGCGATTCTGTGGTTGAAGCGGTTATTTCGTTCTTTGAGACGAGTAAGATGTTGAAAAGCTTTAACCATACGTGGCTCACCTTGATCCCTAAAGTGGACTCTGTGGAGAATATTAGACAATTACGCCCGATCAGCCTTTGTCAGTTTACTTATAAAATTATAACAAAATTATGGCAGAGCGTCTTGCTGGTCTGCTGCCTCAAATTGTTTCGGAAGGACAGAATGCATTTATTCGCGACCGGCAAATTATTGATAACATCCTTATTGGGCATGAACTAATGCATTATCTTAAAACCAAGAAGCAAGGAAAGAAAGGGTACATGGCTTTGAAGGTTGACATGGAAAAGGCCTATGATAGAGTCGAATGGCCCTTTCTCCTTGCAGTTCTGGATAAGATGGGCTTTAGCTCGATCTGGCAAGGATGGGTTCATGAGTGTCTTCGGTCCTCATCGTTCTCAGTGCTAATGAATGGCACGCCTGCTGGGTATTTCTCTGCTTCCAGGGGCCTCCGGCAGGGGGATCCGTTATCGCCTCTCCTGTTTGTGCTTTGCACGGAAGGGTTTGCGGCTCTCCTCCGGAAGGCAATTTAGGAGAAGCGTTTGGAAGGGGTGAAAGTGGCTCCTCGTGCTCCCCGCATCTCGCACTTATTCTTCGCAGATGATTCCTACCTATTCCTGCGAGGGTCTTTGCAGGAGTGCGAGAATCTTATTGAGGTTCTGAACGAATATGAAGAACTTAGTGGCCAACGTGTAAACCTGGCAAAATCGGCAGTGTGCTTTAGCAAGAATGTTTCCTTGCCTGATCAGGAGTTTTTGGCCGCGATTCTTGGGGTTGGAGCAGTAGGGGTTCATGACAAATACCTGGGGCTTCCTACTCTGGTGGCCAGATCCAAAATGGCCACTTTCCGTTATCTCGAGGAGAAGCTAATAGAGAGGCTTCAGGGATGGAAACAGAAACGCTTTCATGGGCTGCTAAGGAAACTCTGATTAAGTCCATAGCTCTGGCCCTGCCCTTGCATGTTATGTCATGTTTCCGACTCCCCCTATCCCTGTATCGGCTCCTTGATAGACACGTGGCCCGATTTTGGTGGGGTGCTACTGAGGACCATTTCAAGATTAGATGGGTGTCCTGGCGGAACATGTGTAGGAGCAAACATGAGGGGGGAATGGGGTTTCGCCAGTTTGAGTATTTTAACAAAGCTTTGTTAGCAAAGATTGGCTGGCGGATCCTGAATGAACCTCAGTGTCTCCTTGCCCAAGTTTATAAAGGGAAATACTTTCCACTGGGTTCTTTCCTCAAGGCTACGACGAGATCTCGTCCCTCTTGGGGATGGCAGAGTATCCTTTATGGGCGCCAGTTGCTAGAGAAGGGGGTAAGATGGCAGATTGGCGATGGTCACTCGGCTTCTTTGCTCCACTCAAATTGGATCCCGGATCACCAGTTGGACGCCCCCTGCTTTAATCCGGTAATCCTTCCGGAGGGGGGGGATCCCTTGGTGGCAGAAGTTATATGTCAAGGGGAAGGACGGTGGTCGGAAAGGAAGTTGAGTCAATGGTTTGATCCTCCTACGTGCAAAGCCATCCAGGCTATTCCTCTTCCGCGCCGGAGTATTGCTGATAAGCTTATTTGGCACAACACAGCGGATGGGGTGTTTACGGTGAAATCTGCTTATCATCTGGCTGTTGAGTTAGATAGGCGGAGGGGAGGATGGAGATCTGAGGTTAGTTGGATGGACAAACCTAGTTGGATTAGAGTCTGGGAAGCTAAGATTCCTCCGAAGTTGAAGCTCTTTGTCTGGCAAATTCTTAACCGGGTTCTGCCTACAACGGAGGCGTTGGTTGGGAGAAAGGTTCCGGTGTTGCCCCGGTGTCCAGTCTGCTGGGAGAGCCCTGAGACAATGGAACATCTGTTTTTTTATTGTCCGGTTGCGAGAGCTCTCTGGGACTATTCTGGGCTGGATTATCTGGGAGAGGGATTGCCTCGTCATACGTTCCCTCTATTCCTCAAGCGTCTGTTGGCCTTAATCCACCAGCCATCGGTGGTTATGAAGGTAGTTGCGGTCCTTTGGCGGATCCGGCGGTCACGAAACTGGGTTGTCTTTGAAGGCAAACAGTTTGGGATTCCCGCGCTAATGAGACAGATCCATCAACAGGTTGAGGAATGGATGGCTCTGCCCCTGGAGCAGGCGACTACGGTGGCAGGGCCAAGGGTTCAGTTGGTTTCGGGGGAGGATGCACGTATGGTTTGCAGGTGGGATGGGGCAACCAGGAGGGGATCGCACTCTGATGGTGGGATGGTTCTTCTCGTTCAGGAGAAGATACTTCTGGCACAGGGGGTGCAGTTTCCTAGGATGGATGAGCCTGCACTGGTAGAGTTGCTGGTGCTGCGAGAGGCACTGACCTGGTGTTTGGAGTATGGTTTCACGGAGGTCCGGTTTGAGGGGGATGCCAAGGTGCTTATTGATAAAATTAATCAGGGTGACAGGAGGGACAACCGTTTGGGGGCGATCCTGGAGGAAATTGGGCAATATTTGTGTGATCACCCGGGGTTTAGTGTGCGATTTATAGGTCGGGAAAACAATAGGGTAGCTCATTCGGTAGCTAGAAAAGCCCTCTCTTTGTATCCGACTATAAGTCGTTTGTTTGATTTCAGGGTCTGGCTGGTTTCCAGGATGTAACTATCTTTTATCAATATATGATATCTTTTGGGGAAAAAAAAAGTCTTAGTTGCTGACAGAAGTTTGTTTAACTCAGCTTTTCATTAACATCGTTAAGTTTATCAGTGAAAAATGCTATATTTGTCTAACAAATTGTTAATTTGTTAAAATTTTACTCCCTCGACTAGATGTTGGGCCGGCCACAAAGTCAAATCCTGTCATTGACGAGAAACCCCGGCCCAGTATCTACGAGTGAAGAAACGCAGTGACGGATTCCTTCCTTGTAACCAAACAAGCTATCCTCTCTCAGCCATCGCAACCTGGTGGAGTAGTGCAGCAACCAGCAGATATCATAGTACAGACCGCGGCCGCGACGAATTGAACGGCGACGTTGCAAATCGGAGAGACAGAAAGGAGATCAAAAGAGAGGTCGGCGAAAATGGGCGGAGGAATGGAGGCAAACAAGAACAAGTTCATCGAGGACTGGGGCGCCGCCCGAGAGAATCTGGAGCACAACTTCCGATGGACTCGCCGCAACTTCGCCCTCATCGGCTTGTTCGGCATCGCCCTCCCCTACCTCGTTTACAAGGGAACCGTCAAGGAATTCGTAAGCCTCTCGCATCTGAAAATTTTCGCTCTGGTTTCCGTTTGGTTCATGAAATGTTCTTCTTCCCCCCATTTGTTGATCGAATTGTGCTTCGTTTTTTAATCCAGGTTTAGGTTACTGGTTGGTGATGGGATGATAGATTTCACAGGGTGTAGTTTCGCTTGCTTCATTTTCGTTCTTAACGTTTCTTCATCCCTCTGAATGCTTGCATCGTGTAATGAGGGTGACCTAATTGTTAGGGTAATACTAATATGTAGATTTGGATTTATGGAAAAGCCCAGTACTTTTAAGGAAACTTGAAGATGAATGCTGATTTCTGATCGTTGGTATGTGTTGGGTACTTGGGTTGTATTTGTATGTATTGTTGTTCATTTCGTTCCCGTTATCATGTTCTGAGTGTCCGGTAGTTGTAGGCTGAACTTTTTTAGGGAAGGTTGGGATAATGAAAAAGCGCTTTCTCCTATAACTTACTTGGTAGCTGACAGTTTGGAAGTGTTGGAGGTTTGTTAAAAGAAATGGCTTTGGTGATGATCTATTATGCCACTGCTAGGGAGAAACTCCAGCCATTGCTGTGACTCGTATTGAGAATGATATATGTGATCCGGGGTGCTCTTTGTGGTATTGGGTTGTCTTTGAATTTGTGAGGTAAAGTTGTATCGATGAATGCTAGGAAAGATCATTGGCTTTCTAGGTCTAAGAAGTATGGTAAAGAAGGAGAGATAAAGTTTCTACTTTAGAAACAAATGAAAAAGTCTCTGTTGTGCTGGATGCTGTTATCTGGGATCCATTGGTTGCAGCATAGAAGGAAGGAATAGATTGGGGGCAGCGAAATTTGTTATGGAAGTGAGGCGAGATAGGTCACCTTGAAAATTTTCTCCTCGATTTGATGTGCAATATTTGGATTAACTAATGCAGTGGGTTACATTAGTTGCATTACCTCTTTTGGTTACTGCATTTGCATTGCCACCTTCCTTGTGCGTGCTTAGCTGCAAAAGGATGAAGCTAGATTGCTGTAAAACAGGCTGCCTTTTGTTTTAGCTGTTGTTGCGCAGTTAATTTTGGAGTTATGCTTGAAATTCTTATAGTAAGCATTTATCGTATGTCAGTTCCTTCTGAGCTGCTAACTCAGTATATATACATATGCACCCCTGAAAATGTTTGAGTAAGAACAATTGCACCACCAGTTTGTACATCTTGCTATGTAACTGCAATAAGCAAATTTTGAAACAGTAGTAAAATGCTGGTTCAGTTAGTTGATTAGAATTGTACAATGGTTTTTCTTTTGGTTATCAAAGCATATTAGCTTTTACTGCTGCGTTTCATTATACTTTGCTCATCAGTCTCCTGACTACTATGGTGACAGCATATGCAAGATGAAGATGCCGGCAGGCCGTACAGGAAGTTTCTTTGAGCTCATCTGAAGGATATTGAATCAAAATAATTGCTGAACGAGTGGATTCTGGTTTTAGTTTCTTGTGTATGTCCATGTTGACAAGCTCCAGACTCTTTCGCCTGCAAGGGGTTACTCTGTATGTTCTCTTCATTTATGTCTTCATGGCTTCTTTTTACTATGGCTTGCAGCCCGCAAACACTTTTTCCCCCCCTTCTGCCAGTAATAATCTTGCATTTATTGAGTGTTGTGATACCATATCTTACTGACCGGTGATGTTGGTTAAACCATTTACCGTGACCAAGCCGGTATCCTTATATCACGGTTTTTATATGGTCTTGCTATCGTTTAAAACCCGGAGATAACCATTCCGATTTCCAATTAAGCTAACCCTTACTATGGAAGGAAACATGAGCCAACTTACAGATATCCACAGAGACACTGTTAAGAGAGAATGAGGTTGAAAGCACTGAAGCTATTGGAGTCTCGATCTTTTCCCCGATGGGAAGAAGATACTTTACAAGTTCTGTTTGAACTTCTGGATCAAGAAACTGTAAGGACTGGTTGTTACTTGTTCCCTTGGTATCAGTAGTGAAAAGATGGTTTAAGTTTTTAGTAAATTATTGTCCAAAAAAGCAAGGCAAAAACAAGAAGACATGAATGAACATACTTGTTCGTTCTGTTCTGCCACTGCGATAATGCATGTGTCTAAATACTTGTGGCTATAATTCGTACATCTTGGTTTGGATTAATGACCATAATTGGTTGTTGCTGCATAGTTCCTAGAAGCAGCGTGGATGTGAAACTCTGTACTTCATCGGAACTGGTAGATGGTCGACCACAAAGTAGTAGCAGCCTGCTGCAGCTGCTTCAACGCAATAGAACCAAGCTCGCCGCCAGTGTGGGTTTACCAACAGAACTGTCACTATTCCCAGTAGCATCACTATATATGATCCAGAAAAACTGACTCTGAAAGCACCCATGTCTATGAAACCATCACCACCACTTTCCTCGTAGTTCTGAGAAGGGGTTTCCGGCTTTCTGTCATCCACTCTCGTACCAGGGCAATCTTTCGGCAGGGGCCATCCGCATAGCAGATCATTGCCTTGATAGCTACTCTCACCAAATGTCCCAAACTGTGCTACATTACCTAGCGTCTTGCCTGACAAGTTATTGTGCGCCACGCTGAAATCTCCTAAGAAGTTCAGTTCCACAAGATCGTTGGGGATTGATCCGTTGAGATTGTTGTACGACAGGTCCAAGCTCTCGATTTGCTTCAAGTTGGAGAACGTGGACGGGATAGGTCCCGAGAGAGAGTTATGAGACAGATTCAATACCTTGATGTTGGTAAAGTTGCCAAATGCAGGAGGGATTTCTCCTGTGAAACTGTTGTTAGAGAGATCTATTCCGGAGATGTAGACCAGAATGGTGCCCTGGTACGAATGGGACAATCCCTTTGTGGTGAATTCCAGAGGCTGCTGAGGCTGCTGTGAGGAAATAGGAGGAACAATCATAGCTTCCTCCCTCCTGCTCCAACCACTGCTCGAGCTAATGCAAGGCAAAATGTGTCCAGAAAGGTTGTTGTGAGAGAGATCGAGCAAGCTCAGAAGTTCCAACTTGCATACCTCCACCGGAATTCGTCCCTGGAAGTTATTGTTGTTCAAAAGAAGATAGCTCAGTTGAGAATACATCTGAATCCATCCTGGTATTGTTCCGGTGAAGTGGTTATGGCTCAGGTCTATTGTCATCAACCAATCTGAATAGACATTATCAAGTGGCAGTAGATGGTTCAATGGACCTTCCAGTTGGTTTCTCGACAGATATAGTTCTTTCATATTTGGAGAGAAAATGCCCTTCGGTAGAAACCCAGAAAGGCTGTTCTGCGAAAGGTCCAGAACTCGAAGACTTGATTGATTTCCAATCCAATTTGGTACTGGACCACTCAGATTGTTGTTGCTGAGATCCAACATGGTCAAATACGTGCAATTCAGCAAGCTGTTTGGAATCCTTCCACTCAGAAGATTTCCATTCAACTGCAACCAGTCCAAGTTGTTGATCAAAATAAGGGAGCCGTTGTTTGAATGTGCTGTGCCATTAAGTGAACCATTAACAAATGATGTGAAGGACTTTCCAAATTGGCTTGGAATATTGCCGGATAATCGATTGTTAGACAACACCAGAGTTTGCAGATACTTCATCGTGCCAAATGACTTTGGAATTCTGCCCACAAACTCATTGTCAGACATGTTGACGTACGATAATTTGGGAAATGATGCCGCGAGCTTCTGTGGGAGCTTTCCTTCAAGGTTATTGCTGGAGATGTCTAAGGAGGATAGTTTCAAGTGAGGATGGTTGGGTAGCTGCTGGAAAGATCCTGAAAGGGAATTGTCTGCCAAAATGAGTTGAACCAGGTTGGTGTTGTTCTCCAGCAACCAAGACGGGAAACCACCTTGAAATGAACCATGGGAAAGATCGAGAAACCGTAAATGTTTCTGATGGTAGAGAAACTTGGGGAACGGCTGGCCAGGAAGACTGTGACTGGACAAGTCGAGCGTCTGCAGTTGGAACTTGGGGACTAGATAAGGAGAGTACTCTTCATTAGCATAGACTGTTAGATTATTGTTTCTGGCTTCTAATTTTTGAAGGTTTGTGTGGTTGAACAATGGGGTTAGGGAGACTGGGATCTGGAAATGATTGCCTGAAAGCAGCATATCTTTGATAGACAGTAGACTTCTGAGTGGTGAGTTGGCCATATCTCCAGTGAAGCGATTGTAAGAGAGGTCTAAGCTCTTGAGTGATGTGAGATTCGCCAGACACGAGGGCAGCATGCCATACAGATGATTAGAGCTGATGTCGAGCTCCTGGAGACTTTTAAGCTGGCATAGTCCTATGAAAAACCATTCATTGGCAGAAATTTAAGCTGCTGGAGATGAGATAACTGAAAGAGCCAATTCAGAAACAGTTTCCCTTACCTTCTATGCTGCCACCTAGGCCGCAACCCTGCAATACCAAACTCTTTAGGGATGAAATCTTTCCAACTGTTTCCAGGAAGCCATCATCATTCACAGTAGAGTATGTCAGGTCTAGTTTCTCCAACTTCCTGAAATTCTCCAGCCCTGAATAGGCAATTGAAACTTCATTCATGTCATAGCAGAAACCCACAAGTCCTTGATTACTTGAAATCCAGTTTCATGATTCTGCCGACCATTTAACCTACCGGGCTTATGATGACTGATTGATTTTGCTGCAGTCATTAAACCCTTAAAGAGGAATGAACAGGTTATCTAAGCATGTCTATATGCAGTAGGAGAAACGTGATTCGGCATAAACCTGTCAGGTCAGCTGATCCCTGGAGGTCGCTGAAGGCGAGGTCCAGGATTCTGAGAGATGGGAGGACAGCTAGAGATGATAATATGCTGATGTTCATGTCATAATTGCTTCCCAGATCAAGAATCTCCAACCTGCTGAGTCCTGATAAATTTCCAACAAACCCTGAAGAAGCAAACAAAAGAAAGGATCTTTAGATGTTATTTCCACTTCCAAGCAGTGCCAGTGAAACCTGCATTGATTTGCAGGAGCTGACCAGTGATGTTATTCCCAGGTAGGTAAAGGCCTGTTAGATCCCTGAAAGGCAGAAACAGTGACGCATTCGGCTGCCAGTGATCTCCCTCCCTTGAAAAATTGAGAGACAGCTGCATTACTCTGCCGCTAACCGGGTTGCATTCCACTCGTTCCCAAGCGCAGCAGTCGTCATCATCGGATTCCTCGAACAACGAGGAGGGGGTGCTGTTCTGGAGCTGGAGAAGAGCAACTCTTTCATCCTCGAAACAGCCATCACACCATCTTCCTTGCAGGACAACTGACAGAGCTGCTACTATTACTGCCACTAGTATAGTCTTCATCTGACTCATTTTTTTTGTACAAACTAATGCATGGAATGAGAGAGGGTTCTGTCAGAGCAATGGAAAATCCATGGGAAATGTACTGATAAACAGCGTGTCCGTTTACTTCAAGTACTGAAAGACTTCTTGACTTGGAAAATGGCCGACGACTTGGAACTTGGAAGGGAGAGAAAAAGAAAGAAAAAAATTGAATCGAGTATTCTCCAAGTCAACAAGAGAACTTACTTGCCTCCAAGGTTGTCAACCCGCTGGTTGACCGGACCCGGTCGAACTAGTGGGTCAAGGGTTATTGGGTCAACCGTTTTAGCTCGGTTTGACCCAGAAATATGGAAAGAGTCATTATATTGTATTTATCCTCATAAATTATATCAAATCTTATCTAACATATGAGTTATAACATATAATATTACACCAAAATAACATATCGTACTTAGATCCAACATATAGTGAAAATTCACACACACTTATATAACATGAATATTCAAATGTTCAATTTAGGATTCCAAAAATTGAGTTAGGCGAAAAGAAAAATGGGAAAATAGACGCATTTCGCAAACTAAAGAAAAAAATGACAAAATTTGACATCCAACCCGGTACCTTGTAGCCCGGCGGGTGCCTGCGGCCCGTTTTTCTCACCGGGTGAGGGTCAAATTGGGTCGACCCGCGGGTCAAACCGCGAGTTGACAACCTTGCTTGCCTCCGTCGGAAACCAGGGGAAATCACGACTGGGCTCGTTCTCCTCAACCGCTCCGGCGTGTTCCCGTTTTTGGGCCTGCACCCCCAGCTCCTGGACTTCGGTCCTTCCTCCTTTCTCTTTGACTAGGCCCATCTCGTTAGCGGGCCACTTCTCCACCGACTTGCACATTTCCTGGGTCAAACTTGAGTTCTAGATTTTCTAGTAGATTTTTGACCAATGCTGACTCATCTAATATAGCTACGTTCTTAATTAATGGTATATAAATCATAATAATAATTATGATGTCATAAATCTGGTCGACCTAGCTCTTTTACGATGGCACTGACGTCATCTTAGTCATAGGATTTGTGCCGTGCATGGCAAGTGGCAGCTCATTAAGGCTCGGACCCAAAACACGGCATGACGTCGGCAACACGCAGTCCACAGCTGAAGATCTTTCCTCTTACTAACACGCCGCCGTTTTCTCAGTTCCAGAAGTAAATACAATAACAACAAAAACAATTTTTTCAGTCTTTTTTTCCTCTCATAATATTTTATAATTTTTGTTGGTCAAATAAAAAATAAATAACGGCAGAAAAAGCAACAGCGTGTCAAAAACGCTGGACCAATAGTGGGATTGTTCGCCAATCCTTTTCCTTCAGATTTTCGTTTTTTCATTTTAATGAAATTGCCCCCCCCCCCAAAGAAATGAAATAAAAATTGCCATTGGATACTACTTTATGAATTATTTTGGGGAAAATCAAAAGGACAGAGAGAAAAGGAGGAAAACGAACAAAAACAGAACCAGCTAAAGCTTTCTCTTTTCTTTTTTCCTTTCGTTGAGAGAGAGATATTTGAGAGGAAACAAATTCTCTCCTCCTCAACCTCAACGTATAGCGGCGTGGGGCTGTCCGAAATCTCGCTGGAAACGAATCCCTCCCTCCCTGCAACGCAACCCCAACCCCAAACCCGCCAGGCTAATACGCCAATTTCGATCTCCCCCCACCGAAGAAGAATCTCCCGATCAAAAACAGCGAACCAATTGCATTTCGATCTCAAAACACTTTCTTCTTCCCGGGATTCGCACTCCTCGTCGCTGAAATTTGGTGGGTTTGATTCCCGGTGAAATGGGTTGTGATTATTCTTTCCAGATTTTGATTGGGTTGTTTTGAATTCCTTCGAAATTGTTTCCAAAATGTCGTCTTGCTCATGTTGCAGGTGTTCCACAGCTGCGAGTCTCCCTCCACCACCTCTTGTTTTCCGGCGAAACAGCAAGAGGGGGAGAGAGATGGATTACGAGAGCAGTAGTTGGATCTGGGATGGGGTTTACTGCCACCCGCATCTCTTCGGCGGCCTGATGCTCACCGCCGCCTTGCTGGGTTTATCCACCAGCTACCTCAGCGGAATCGGCTTCTCTTCTTTCCCCTACATGTTCTCCGATCTGGGCATCTTCCCTACCAAGAGGCGCGAGAACAAGAAGCGGGTCCGCGTCTACATGGATGGTTGCTTCGATCTTATGCATTACGGCCATGCCAATGCATTGAGGCAAGCCAAGGCCTTGGGAGATGAATTGGTGGTTGGAGTTGTGAGCGATGAGGAGATCATTGCCAACAAGGGCCCCCCTGTTTTGTCCATGGAAGAGAGGTTAATTTTTGTCCCCTCCAATTTTGCTTTTCAATTCTTCTTTGGGTTTAACGCCTATCGTGATCCTGACTTCGGGGGTTTTCTCATCTGGAGCTTGGATCTGACTGTGGCAGCAAATTTGGGTTCTTTGTGATGGGTTTTGAATTTCCAGATTGGCCCTTGTGAGCGGATTAAAATGGGTGGATGAAGTGATTGCCGATGCTCCTTATGCTATTACGGAACAATTCATGAACAGTCTGTTCAATGAGCATAAGATTGACTATATCATACATGGTGATGATCCTTGCCTTCTCCCTGATGGGACCGATGCCTATGCCTTGGCCAAAAAAGCCGGCCGTTACAAGCAAATTAAACGGACTGAAGGTGTTTCCAGCACGGATATTGTAGGTACTACTACTTCTTTCTCAGTAGTCTCTCCCATTTGTTGAAGGAAGGAATCTAGATGGTTACTTTCATGTCGACCGTTACACGAAATAAAGGTAGCCTATTTTAAGTGAGAAAGTGCTGGTCACGAGAATTTTCCATTTGCCATGAGAGTAGATTGACTACAATTTTGACACTGACTTCAGTTAATCTATGTGGTTTTTGGGAATGTAGGAAGGATACTTTTGACGTCCAAGGATGGCGAGGTTCGAGACAACCAGGATGGCTCATCGCCTTTACCTGCTGATAAGGGTACTCAATCCCATAGTTCGCACGTTTCACAATTTCTACCAACGTCTAGACGGATAGTGCAGTTTTCTGATGGCAAGGTATTGTTTGTTTGCAAAGCTCATTGCTTGAATTATACGCAACTCGAAGCAGAGATCTCGGAAACCTATTGATTTGTGTATTGAGATCTTTCATTTGTTCATCTCATGGTGCCTGCTGATCTTACTTGTGTGTTTTCTTGAAGCAGGCACCGGGACCAAATGCTCGTGTTGTCTACATTGATGGAGCCTTTGACTTGTTCCATGCTGGGCATGTTGAGGTACGTTTGAGCCTAAGAAATTGGATTGATTGGTTTTTTAAGTTCCTAAGTTCTCTGTTAGTAGGCCATCACAGATTTTCTTCCTACTGTTATTATGCTGGGTTTCTCCTTTTTCTACCATCTTTTATTATTCTTTCCTAGCATTCAATCGTTTAACACAATTGGTCAGTAGGTTTGTTCCAAATTCTGAGTGTTTTGAATGTGCTGGCTTTCTCCTTTGTCAAGAAACTTTCTGTTTCCTTTTCCTTTTCCTTGGTTTCTTATGGGTGGGTTCTGGCTACCGCATCACTTCTTCCCATTATGAATTTGGTTATAGCTTCAATTGTTTAAAACAATTGGTCAGTAGATTTGTTTCATATTCTGTGTGTTTTAATTGTGGATGATGGGCTTCAGTTGACCAGTATGTTCTTCATCTTCGTCAGATTCTCAGAAAAGCTAAGCAGCTTGGAGACTTTCTGCTAGTTGGGATCCACACAGATCAAATTGTCAGGTATTCCAACTTCACTCTCTGTCAAGCTGATGTGGATTTTCTTGATTGATGAAAGTGTAAATGTTCCTTTGCGTAAGAGTGTCCATCTTCTGCTATCCGCTTAGAATTCTATGTAACAATATTGTTGTTCTTTTGCAGTGAACAGAGAGGGAAATATTACCCAATCATGCATTTGCATGAACGTAGCCTTAGTGTTCTAGCATGCCGGTATGTTGATGAAGTCATCATTGGTGCACCATGGGAGGTTTCCAAGGATGTGGTATGTTGACTGTCATTCTATTCGTCACTATATGCACTGGAACTTAGGGCCATATAAAACCCATAGGATTTCCCTCCCATTTGTTAGCAGTGAGACATTATAGTGATAAGAAATTGTATACCTCTTTGACTCTTCTTCGTTAAGTCATTTGGTGGTGAAGAGTTATTAAGTGCTGAGTTGAGCCTTGTTTGCTTTGTCCAGATAACAACTTTCAACATCTCACTGGTGGTGCATGGGACTGTTGCAGAGCGAAACTCCTCATCACCTGTAAGCTCTGAAGTCTCCACATTCTCTTCATGTCACACACAAGATTGGTACTCTTGACATGAAAGTGACCGAACTTTTTGTTTGATGCAGGGAGGAAATGATCCTTATGCAGTCCCAAAGGCCATGGGTATTTTCAGGATGCTCGACAGCCCTAAAGACATAACAACCACATCAGTCACCAAGCGTATCATCGCTAACCACGAGGCCTACACGGTAATTCTTCGCTTTTCTTACTCCACATTGGGATCTTCCTAAAAATTGTTTCTTCAGTTGCTATAACTAAAATAAACTCACCAATGTATGGTGGGGGTCATGGTCTCCGAGCTTCATTCATCTTACCTATTGGCCAACTCCTATATTTCTTTTGTTGAATGCAGAAACGAAATGCGAAAAAGACTCAGAGCGAGAAGAAATACTACGACGAGAAGGTATACGTTTCAGGAGACTGATCAAAGACGGACTGAGATAGTTTGGCCAAGTAAAGAGGCGTTTGTGCTGCAGCATATATAGGCTTATGGTATGGTTTATGTGAAGAAGAGAGAACCCATAAAGACGGAGAGCCATGTTTGCCCCGAAATGGTTCAGAGAAATGGTGGCCAAAAATGTCAATTCAGTTAATGGTAGAATCATCATCAATATCATACACAGGTAGAAAGATGAAGGGCAAGATTCCGCAGCCATCGCAACACATCCTTTAACAGAAGCTGCTGCCTTCTGTTATTCTTTTCAGGTTTCGTAGTGGAAGCAGCCAGCAGAAGCCCTCCAGAAAACTTTATCATCAAGTAGAACAGTTAAAAATAGTTTATTTCTGTAGGGGGAGCCTTTTTTCCTGCTTTTCATTTCTGGGTTTCTATCCCTTCTCTTCATTTTATCCTACATTACGTCCTATTCTTTCTGTGCATTGAGATCGTGTACTTTCAAGGTGGGGGTGTGAAAACCAAGTTGATTATTATGAGTGGATTGTTGGCCAGCTAACAAGATGTTAAGCCTGTATTTGGAAGGACTTGATCCAAACTAGAGTATAGTTTATGGCAATTCAAGTTGCTAATAGGAAATTGCCGGTTTTGTTTAGTATGAGTGTTAAATTGGATATAGTTTTTTCTTATGTTACAAGGTAACTTTTTTTTTTTTTTTTTTTTTTTTGTGTGCGCTTATGTCGCAATGTTTTGCATGAGCATAGAAATTTGCCATTTCACTGGTTTTCAAATTGCACACGCTCAAAATTAGTTTAGGAGAAGTTACATATTCTTTGTATAATTGTATGCTATTTCCCCCCGAAATTTGTGCGCTTAAGGGGTGTTTCAACCTTTTCCATTAAACTAAGGGATGGATTTTAACCCCAATCAAGTCAAAGTATAACTCAAGAGTACAATCCAATCAAGTCAAAGTACAACTAGTAACTCAAACATGGAGTCATTAAAAAATGTCTCATATCGACAAAGAATGGCCCAAGGAAGTCAAGTAATCAGTTGCAAAGTTTGGCTCTCGAAAGATATGCTCGTTGCGGACTTGCAGGAAGAGGTAATAATTTGTGTATCTCAACCATAAGTGTAAAATGTGGGTGATTTCTTTGTGCGGCTACATTAGGTGCAAGGCCGTTTGAAAGTCACTTTGTAGAACAACCTTCCTAATCTCCAGTTCTTGGATAATCTTGATACCATGTACAGATCCAACTTGCTCTGCACATGCAATCGACCCCCCAAGTTCAGAGAGAAAATTCGAATAAAGCGATAATCGTTTCCTTTCACGATGGCGCATGCCAAAGTGCTCGAAGGAGAGTGAAGGAAGATCCATCAATGGTTAGCCCCCCTAACCTTGTTGTGGTAGTTTCCAGTGTATTAGTCGTCGTTCTCGCGACCTCCCCTGTCCAAAATTGGTGCTCTTCTTCATAAAGGAAGTTGTAGTGTATTGCCTTAGCTGTCGAATCTGGAGCTGCACAATAATCTCAAGTTCTTGCATGAATCGATGATTAATCGGGTACTTCCACATTGACCAACATGTTCCTGTAAAAAGAGAAGCATCAATGCAGGTACCTTGGCCCGTAAAATAGTGGAGGATCCATTGAACTATATATGATTGGAAGAATACTCGATCAGTAGTATACTAATATCACTTCCATTGCAGTCAAAAGCGAATTCTAGGTAGAAGCGTTTTGATAGTCTAGAAGTGTAAAAAGAGAAATTCTTACCTTTTTAATCGAGATTTCTACTAAATTAATAAGTAAAAGCCACCTAATATGTAAAAATATTTTAATGACCTAGTAAAAGCATAAACTTGCATCATCACTCTTGATATTTGATCATTTCCTTTAAAAAGTGATTGCACCGCTCTCCAAATTTCGTCAAAACATCAACTTGGCTAACTATAAAGAAACAAACAATTCCAACTTTAGGCGGGCACACGAAAGAGCACCTGATAAATTTGGTGGTGATGTGTAAACTTAACCAAACACAGAACGAGGCCACGTCAGACTATGATTATCTTCCTTCTGGAGCTTTCTTGTCGGGCCCATTTGGTGAGGTTTGGACATTGGGCCCATCAGAGGACTTTCTGGAATCCTCCAGACCCAGATAGAATGAGAGAGAGATACGGGCCTCCCGAAATTTCACAAACCCCTCTCTTCTCTTCTCCCGCCACCTGTCCCTTCCTACCCTCCCTTTCATCTCCTCCCAAATTTCCCCCTTTATAATTCAATTCTCTCCACCGCTCCTCCATTGTTCACGATCAGTTTGACAGAGAAATTAGTGTGTAAACGAGAGGAAGCTTCAGCTCGTCACTTGAATTCATTCTCTGCAACGAATTAGGGTTTTCGCAATGGCTAGACAAGGTGGATACAAGAGGAAAGAGCTCGATCTCGATTTCGCCCGCGAGGATTTCTCCGACTTCTCCCTCTCCGCTCCGGCTCTCAAGATTCGCCGCCTGGTATCGTATTCGTTTCTGTATCGATATCGTTTTTTGTTTCTTCCATGGAGTCCTGAATCTGATTTTGTTGTCTTGATGGTTGATAGGATGCTGAGTCGTTGCCTCCGATTATGGAGGAAGAGGATCACGTGGAAGTAGCTCCGGTGGTGTCCATGGCGGAGCCGATTCCGCCGCTGCCGTCGGGCGAGACGGAGAACCTGGAGAGAGCTCTCGTGGTTTACAAGCCGGCGAGCGTACATCCTCCGCATTACTCGCCTTCGACTCTCTCCTTCGCGCTGGATTCCGGAATTCTCTCCGGTTTAACGAGTAAGACTTCTTCTCCCCGTACTGGTTATGCATGCTAGGTGTTTGATGAATTGACAGCGATCTTCAGCTCTGTAATTGTGGCTAAACTGTGTCGATACCGTCGCTGCAGGGGATCAATTTCTTAGGTCAGAGGTGATACAAGATGAGGATGATGAAGCGGGAGCCGAGAAGAACGGTTACAAAACTGCAGCGAACGGGGACGGATATATGGCTGTAGTACCGTGGATTTCTTCCTCTCAGCGTTCATTTGGCAATCAAATGCGAGATTTCCAGGCGGAAGTTCCGGAGTCAATGGAGGCGGATGAAACTGGTGTAGCGTCGATGGAGGTGGAGGAAAGCGACGGCAATTGGAACATTGAGCAAATGCGGCATTTAGGCAATTTCGGTGGAGACGATGGATTGCGACAATGGCAGCAGCACCAGCAGCATTGCTTCATCCCGGAGCTTCCTCCCAACAATCTGACGCCTGTCACCTGGTTGCGATAAGCGGTCTCTGAGTACCGTTTAAGCCTGGCCTGCCCTCTTTGTTTTTGACTTGTTTGTTTTTTTGAGATGCTGAAACTATGGAGGGTTGGGATATATGCGTAATGTGTTGAAGGTAGCCACCGGCGGCGACATGGCTTCTGTTAGCTGCTGTGTATAGGACCAAGCTGCTTTAGTACGGAAGGGCATCGAATTGCCGGCGACGAATCTTTTCTTGTCACATTGTTGATACGGAGGCTGTTAGTTAGTTAGCTAGTAGTTCTTCTCCAGAGCTATCATCTCTACGGGAAGGTCGATTCAGCTTGTGCCTTGTAGGTACTGGGTAGTTGTTCCCCTAGGTTTGCACCCATTTGTATTGAAGCTGGGTATGGGATGGAGATTGGTACGTTGTGTTATCCAAATTTTTGTGGTCTATTGGATATATGTTTGACCGATTCGTGCTCGTATCCAAATTTAATCTATTTTACACGTTTCTGGATGGACCCTACTCGGCAACACTCGCTAATTGATCGCCTTGGATCACCTTCGGTCACCAATCGAGTCACTACCGGTTATAAGTCACTTCTGGCCACTCTAGGTTACCTACAACTACTCTAGGTCACTTTTCAGTCACTCTCAAGGTTACCTTCAGTCATCTAGGGTCACTTTCGGTCATCTTGGCTACTTCTGGTCACCTTCGACCACCTAGGCCACTTTTCATCACCTCTCGGGTCACATTTGGTCACCCTAGGTCACTTCCCACTTTTTAGGTCACCTCTGATCACTATAGGTTACCTTTGGTTACTTAGGCCACTTTCGATAACCTTTCGTGTCACCTTCGATAATTCCCGAGTCACCTAGGCCACTTGCACTCACCCCTAGGGTCACCTCCGATCACCCCCTATATCACCTCCGAGTGATCACCCTCAAGTCAACTCCGATAATCTCCTAGATCACTTTCAGGCACGTCGGGTCACCTCCGCTCACCCCATGTGTCACTTCTTGCCACCTTCATGTCATTTCTGACAACCCCCCGGATCCATAACTCCAGGGCACCCTGGCAACCCCTAGGGTCTATAAACCCAAGTCACTCTGGCCATTCCCAGGGTCCATGACTTCGGCCAACGCTAGGGTCATTCTGGCCACCTCAGGTTGCCCAACACCCTTCGACACATACCCCTATGATATGTCTTTTCCTTACCCACGAGCTCCAGAGGGACACACTTCATGATCGTGAATGCCTCTACAAAGGCCACATTGTCTCTTGGTTAAGGTAAGAAAATTTTCTTATGTTTAGACTGGTGAACTCCTGCTATGATTAGCGAAGATATTCACTTTCAATTCCCTTCCCTCGTGTTTGTTTTCGAGGTCATATTCCTCTTTCCCATAAGCACACTCTAATTTGAGCGTCGGAGAGTGTCCCATCGAGATCGAGCGATATACCTTTTTTGTAGGAGATGACCGAAGCTGACATCATGAGAGTAGTTCGGGGGTGAAATGTGGTCGTCATCCGACCTCAGTGTCCAGTATAAGAAAACTCGACGTCGTTACAACCCCGACATCTACAATTGACGCCCACCATGGGCCCTGAAGTAAAAGGTGGACAAAAGCGTAACTTTAACACTTCACTCTTGATGAAGTCTCAAAACCCCCAAAATTCCCAAACTGACAGCAAAGTTTGAGACAAAGAGGCAACCACTCCATCTTCCGTCGAAGACCTTCAAGCCTAAATTGAGCAGTTGAAAGCTCAAATTCAAACATTGACATCAACACCTCTTTCACCCAATGGGCTGTATGTTAATTCTAGTAACCAACTAGACTCCCAAAGGGTTAGCTCACCCAATGAGACATCAACCCCTCGTCCACCTCCACGACCAGAAGGCTTCTCAACCTTGAGCCTCACCTTATGCCCAGCTTCCTTACTAATTATGGGCATGGCAAGCCATTGGCTTGTTCGGTCATTAACCAACTCAACTCCCCAACTTCCACAAGCCTCGTCATTTGTGTATTCCAGATTTTGTAGCCCTTTGTGGGAGCATCCAACTCCACCATGTGCAGTTTCCCCCCACCAGCCTATAGGGGTGGCATTATTGGGACTTAACTAGCGGTCAACCTAGGGAATCTCATCAAAGTTCCTTCTAGTACTCAATCTGGTCACCATGTGTAGAACCCGCCAGGCAACCCAAGAATGTCCTACCCAACCAAGTCTTCAAGTGGAAATATATCTGAAGTGATGACACCAATACGCATCTAGAAAGAAGAACAACTCTCGAATGAATATAAACCGTATGACTCATGGCAAAGATCCATGTGAGTATGCACTTGAAACAAAACTGAGAGCATATAAACCTGAAGAGCAATGATGAATCACCTCCACCAACGAGCGAGACAACCAAGATCACACAACAAGTCCTTGAGATCAAGTCAGACATTCCTAGCTACACATCTAATTACGCTCCACTCAACTTAGGGAGAAACAATTTTCATCTACCACACCACTCACATGTGAGGTCTCCGTCTAGCTCCCTCTAGCCCACAAAAGTGAGATTGTCCGATTTTTCAAGAACCTAAGTGCTACCATTAGTACCCTGCCTCTCCATAGCAATCTGAAGGCAAGATGATTATTTTACAAAAAAAAAATTACTTAAGATTTGCAAACCATCCTTCAAGACTAAGCCCTCACCATTGCCACCATTTATGTTGACCATTAGCGTGAAAATCCCTATCATTCGAGTTTCTGATGTCTTCACCTTGATTCCATGGGTGGCACCTCGTGTTTAGCTACCTTTATCAACAATCACCTTAACACAGTGACACCACCCAACCATCTTGGCCTCCCACCACAAAAAACTCTCAATAAGTTATGCCAAAAGTGGTTTGCTTCATTAGTTGTCACCACCCTCTATTGACGACCTTGCCACCATAATGTTGGTCACTTTTCATATCGAGAAATGTATAGAGTATAGTAGACTTGAGTCATTGAATCCATCTTTAATCTTTAACCCAAAATCTTACTCGTGCATGGATTGTGATTATGCATTTTCTCACCTCCAATATGATGTCGTCTCACCCAGGGGGACAACACTATCTTCTCATGATACCAAATCACTTAGCTTAGATCCCAAGTTCTCAAAGAATTTCCCCAAAAACTTGAATCTTTCTGAGGAATGTAATAAACGCATTTAAGAAGTAAATCATCATCGTCTAATCACCACTCCCCCTAATATTTACACCTAAAGGTAAATAAATATAAGGAATTTGGTTATTTTTATTGTTATTTGCTAGTGTGTATTTTATTACATCCATGGGCTCTCAACCTAATCATTGCACATAAATGTTGGGTGAAAGGTTTGTTTTGCAAGCATATATTTGTTATTCCCCCATCCATTGCACTAACGGATGATCAATCCTTTAACCATTGCACTTCATGATTGAGGGAGAGTCGGCACTCAACCATTGCACTTAATAGATACGTGAAGTGTAATTACCAAACTATTGCACTAGAGTTGGGTAGAGAGTCATCTCTCAACCATTGTACGAGGGTTGGGAGAAAAGTTCAATACCTTACAACAACTACAACAAGAAAATGCCAAATTGTACAACTACAAATGAATTAGCCAAACGAATAAGCTAGTCTCTTTTGGAACTCTATGATGTGCCAACCTCCAATAAATTGTGGCATCAATAACGATATGCCTCAACCATTATCATTGTCTCAATTTCCTCTTCACTAGAATAACAATAATGAGGGCGTGATTGTAGTTTGTCATCGTCATCTCACCTATCAACACTATATTGTCATGGTCGCCATGGCTAGTGTAGCTCTATCGCCGCCTTGTGTCCGCCCCCCCCCCCCCCCAAATTGTCGATTTATATGTCATCATCATGATAATAGTATGTTCTTACCCACATCGAAGTGTTGTCGTCTTGATGTTATAATCACGACCGATGCTACCCCGAATGTTATAAATGTCATCATCACTTCCAGTCAAAATGCATGTGGGGAGAAAAAGTGATCTTAGTAGAATTATCAGAGAACTCTAGAAAAATGACAATGGGAATGATGGAAAAGCAAATAAAATATTGAGTGCAATGTCAGAGATCTAACAAGAATTGTATATATTGCTAAAACCCATATCAAGGTTTATTTGATGCCAAGATTGGTACACCCCCTCGAGGCATGAACAAATTTCACCATGCTATTCTTGAACCACAACAGCAAACCCATTTCCTTGTCCCGTCACCATAGCAACATTGACGTTGATCATGTAATGAGCACTAGTCAGGGGCATCCATATTCACTCTCTTTTTGGCTCAGAGACTAGATTATGAAGGTGTTAATCAATGTAATATTCTAACCAACCCGACGTTTTGCACATGATCCCATACTCTTCAAATTGTATATTGCTCATTGACAATTTCTTTCTTTTCAAATTAAACACAACTAAATAAGGAATTGGCCAATCCCCTCTTCCGACTATGTCTTCTCAAGGGCACACAACCAAGTTTCACATGTTAGATTCTCCCCTTTACTGAACATAGGCTGGAGAGGGTTATATCACCATACTCATCGAACCCAAGCCCTGAAAATATGATATTGTTTTTCTATCAATCCACAAAACGAGCATGTCTCACAACTCTTCTTAATTTGGTCCACAAGTTTCTTTCCGGTTGTGAGAAACTTATTGTCCCATTGCCATCCATCTCCTTCAACTTGGGATCTTTAGACTCCATAGTTTCCCCAATCAATAGGAATGCATCGTTCACCCATAGCTAGGTCAGACTCATCGATTTCATCGAGTTTTACTGTTTTCTTCGCAAATCTAAAGTCTTCCAAGCAGAGGAACTAGTTTGAAAATCATGCATTTGCCGTAGATGCCCATTTTTACATTGGTAAGAGGTAGGGATTAGTAATGGCAATGAGGCGTGGCGAGGCTTGTACTCAATAGCCATATCTGCCCCGCACCAACCGCATGTCAGGTTGGATAATATCTGCATGGGTAGGGATCCAAGCATGTCAACCCATTATTATATGTTATTTGAAGAAAATCTTTATTTTTTAGTGATAAAATAAAAGAAAATTAGTACATAAAAGAAAATATAGATAAAAGGTAGACTAGCTGAGTCCAATTAGTTTAATGATAAAATGTTGTGCATATTTAAAGTATCGTTGGGTGAAAATATGAGTTAATATAAGTCAACATAGGAGAAATACGGAGACAAATTGAGCTAGCAGGGGTCAAGAACAGGATGTGACAGGTTGGAAGTAGTACCCATGTCTCGTCCCATGTTACTGTGGGTCGGATATTACTCGGCCGACGTGAGTCAGGTCGGGTAATACTTGGCGAGACGAGTTCAACTTGACATCACTAGTAGTAGTAGGGGATGTCAATTGAACCTGGATCTATGGGTAGCCAACCCGTATGAACCCGATTAAATTGGGTAAAACCATGTAGTGATGGATTTTGGGTTCGGTGTGTGTTTTACCCGCTTTTGGAAATTGTGAGTTGGGTGGTACGACTTGCACTCGAAAAGCAAAATGAGTTCGGTTTGCATTTAATCCTAATACTATGGATCGTTTTGAGTGTTATTAGTCATGATGACAATATTATCCTACTAATATGGATAAATTATGATTGTTATTAGTGTTTATGACAATATTCCTATATTTTTTTTTTATAATATAAGAATATTAGTGTTTGAAGAAATTATTTAGGGTGTGTCCTTGAATCCATGAATATATATGAATTCGTGAATACTCATTGTTATATGCAAGGATGAAAAATCGTACTGTATCGACGGTTTGATCGAAAAACCTTATCGGAGGTTAAATCGATATGCGATATTTAGCGGTATGAAATAATTTAACCATGATTGAACTACTATTATCATAGAATACTCTACTACTGACTTTCCGATACCTCAGTTATCAAATTATCCATAACAAATACACCCATTGAATTGAATTTGGACAACCCGACACAATACATCCATTCATCTCTAGGAGGTTAAACATCGAAGCATGTAACCAACGGGCTTCCCGTTATCTTTTCTTACTTTTACTTTTTCGTTTCAAATTGTTCGTTGGATCCGGCCGGAACGTTCCCCGTAGGGTTTTCTCTTTGGGTCACTCACTACTCACGAGCCCGAGCCATAAAACCCTGAACCAGCAAACCTATTAACCTTGCTGCTGCTTCTATTGCTCAGCCCTCCGCCGCCACAAACAGCCCACTCTTAATTTTGGGGCATTCTCTTCCGCCGCCGCCGTCGTCTTCTTCCTCTCCCCCAAAATCCCAGCTCACCCCTCTCATATTCTCCGGCGAACTCGAATCCCAACTGCCCAAAAATTATGACGGAAACCCAACTCCAAGTAGGGCCGGTGCTCATAAAGCAGCTGGCCGCCTCCGACAACAGGACCCGCAGCAGATCCCTCCGCGCCCTTCTCTCCACCTGGCTTCCTTCCCAGTCCAGCCTCTCCGACGAGGACATGAGGAAGCTCTGGAAGGGGCTCTTCTACTGCCTCTGGCACTCCGACAAGCTCCCCGCCCAGGCCCACCTCATCGACCGCCTCGCCTCCTTGATCCCGACCCTCGATTCGACCTTCTCCGCCCACTACTTCTCCGTCTTCCTCCTCACCATGCGCCGCGAGTGGTCCGGCATCGATTTCCTCAGGTTAGACAAGTTCTACCTCTTGATGCGCAGGGTTTTCCGCTCTGTTTTCCTTATGCTGAAGAAGAATTCCTGGGATTTGGAGCTGTCGAATCGATTCATGGGTATTTTGGTGGAGAGGACCTTCTTGGCGGATGATAAGTTCCCCGGGAATGGCGTGAACTATCATATCGCGTCTTGTTTTCTCGACGAGCTCAAGCCTTTTCTGCCTCTGGGTAAGCCGGTCGTTGAAGCTCTGTTAGCGCCTTTCAGTTCCGTGATGGGGAAGGTGGTTGATAAGGTGCTGGTGGGGAAAATTAAGGGAAATGTGTTTGATGAGTTGTTGAATATGGGGAGGGGTTTGCTGGAGTTCAAAAAGTCTCATCCAAATGATGATTGTGAAAACAAAGATGTGGTCTTGCTTGGTACAATTGCCTTAACCATGGGATTCTCTGCTAGGTTTTATGAGTTGGGTTCTTCTGCTGAATGTCGTCAAGGTAATAGGAAAGTGCTCCTTGGTTTGCACGAGGAGTTTATGAAGTTGGAGAAGGCCTTGGCGCTTTCCGGAATCGATATTTCTCTACCTGAAGTTAATGGTGATGGTACAGATAATAATGATGAAGATGATGATGATGATGAAGTGCCGACTTTGGTGCCCATTGACACTCGGATGAAAGAAGTGGAAGGACAAAATGGAGGTGTTGGCAAGAAGGAATCGAAGAAGAGCAAAAAGAGGAGTAAGGATTCATCTGACAATGATGGGAAAGATGAGAAAAAGAAGAAGAAGAAAAAGAAGAACAAGAGCAAGAAGCAGGAAGATGGTGGCGGTGATGGGGAGAAAGTGCCAAATGGTGAGAAATTTTCCAGTGATGAAAAGAGCACTGACGTGGAAAGTGATGCGATTACTTTCGACGATGCTGTCATAGCAAACCTGCAAAAGCAGTTTGAGAAAGTCGCAGCTGAAGTAGGTATGGATGATGGTGTTGGAAGCTCCCTCGAGCTTGTGGAAGTGAAAGGAAATGGCCATTTAACGAAGAAGAGGAAGAGAACAAAGAGTAAAAATGGGAAGCAGTCTGAAAATGTGGAGTCCAAAGATGAAGGGGATGCTGCCGCCAAGAGCGAAGAGAAAAGTGTGAAGAAGGTGAGGTTTTCCATGAAGAACAACTTGGTGTGGAAACCACACAGTCCTCTGCCTCCAGAGAGTTTGAGAATACCACCCTCGTCCACCCCTAGAGGGAGTGCCCTCAAGAAAGGTATACCTCCTGGTCCTATTAGGGAAATGCCTTCTGCAGCTAACAAGGCGAAAAAGAGAGCGAAATCCGTCAAGGTTGGTGTGAAAGCAAGAAGAGGCGCCCCTCCTACCGTTAGGCGCCTGAAGAAAAGAAGTTAGGAACTCTCTCTTGCCCTATCATAGATGGCAAAGTCTTCTCTAGTTTCAATGTTTTTTGTGTTTCTTTCAAATAGTTTGATCTTGTCTGAACTTTTAAGTTGTGGTGAACTGCGTTGATACCATTGATTTCTTTCATGGAGTTGAGTGTAATGATTTAAGGCCAGGAACTTGATATACAAGGTTATCTCAGTTTTTCCATTCTTCTGTAGGGCATTTCTCCTGTTCTTTGTCCAAGTTCCTATCTACAATTTTGCTTTTATGTCCCTCCTCACTGACAGAGTGATCTGGTCTCAAGTGTCAAATATGGTTCTCCTTGCTGGTACAAATGTTTGCAGAAGTAAAGTGACATTGGCTTTGAGTATAGATATCACATCCCTGTTTCCACTAAAGATCCCAAACCATAAAAAAGAAGGATTTTTTGCAGGATTAGCAGAACCAAGTTTGTGTTTCTTTGCATTGCACTAAAGTATAGAAGTAGCACAACAAAAGAAGTTTAGCATCAGTAACTATCACATCTATACATGGTTGTGGGAAGTTTTGTGGAAAAAGAGGAACAAAATGCAGTGGAGGGGAAAGATTATACACAATAGTAACAGCTGTTTATGGAACTCTTAGTCTGAATCAAGGCCTGTGCAAGTATCTCCCAGCAAGCAAGGCAGCATCCATGACTACAGAGATGACATCGACGACATCGGTGGCCTCGCAGGTGCTGCCTTTGAAGCTGTGTGCGCCTGACTTGATGAAGTTCTTCATGCAGTTGATCAAGTTCTGGCTGCATTCCTCACTCAGATAGTCATCTGCATTGTGGAAAGCGGTTAGGCAGGTGGTGTTTCACAGTCAAGCTTAGTTGGCCTTTTTTGCCATGTTTGTCTGGGCTTTTAGGTGGGCTAGGTCATGTTTCGCCGTCAGCTTACTTCTTCGGGTTGAAATGACACCGGATCACGAAAGCAGCAGCTTACTAGATACGTTCTGTGGTGACCTTTTACCTTTGTAGTAGATGGAATCATGGGATGTATAATACAAACCTATTTGCTTTTGTTGTACACTTGTACTAATGTACTCAATTGTTTCAATATGACCGTTGATGCATCAATGCAAAATACTTGGCCCCCGTCAATTCATATTGATGCACAAAAAAAAAAAGTTCAAATCGTCTAAGCCCAATTGCTGCATCCCTATTATATGTGGTCAATTTGACCCAATTTCTTCATTTTGAGGCAATTGTGCCGGATGGTCTCATCCAATTCCATCATCCAAACGACCCGTTGGTTCTTTTTGGATTTTAGATGTTGAATTTGATGAAATTACATCTTATTTTTATCATTATGTGCAATAAAATTTTGATTTAAATAATTGCAAACTACATATACATGAAAAGAGGTAAAGTTATGTTGTGGCAATTCCACCGAGAAGGGACTAGGTAAGGGATTAGGTTACCCCTACAACATGTCCTTGTATAATGCTAAAGGCTCTTCACTGAGTAGCAGGAGCAACTTTTAATTTATTATGAGCCCAAACAATTGATTCAATAAGTTCTTGCCAATAGCAAGGAAGGATTGCTAAATACAAACATTAAACTTTAAAAAAAAAAATTCCGCGCTCAGTTCGACGAATTTTTTATTACAATAATGATTTCCGGCAATGGAAGAGTGAAGTCAACTAGGGATGACAATGGGTCGGGTTGGGGCGGGTTTTGCCAAACCCAAACCCAAACTCATGGGTTTATCCGCCAAAAAAACCCGGGGTAAAGCTCTCCGGGTTTGAAAAACTCAAACCCAACCAAACCCGCGGATACCCGCGGGTCATGGGTACCCGTGAATTTTTGTGGTAAAATATTTACATTAACAAATTATCAATAAAAATTGTTCAAAATTAAAGATAAACATATATAGACAACATGATTAATTGAAAACTCCTTCCTCCTTGTCAACTAAATTTCTTCACTCTCCACTCCATAATATCAACTTCATTGTACACAATTAGAAAGAACAAATTATACAAGTCTCCTCAAACATAAATAAGATTAGTTGTTTAAGAAAGATATATTGCTTAGAATATTAAATAATCCCGAAAGATTAATTATATGGGTGTGGGCGGGTACCCATGGAGCTGGTTTACCTAAACCCAAATCCAACCCAATAAACACTGTAACGGGTGTAAACCCAAACCCGCCCAAAACCCGTCAACACGGATTTTACCCGCATTGACCGAGTTGGATCGGGTAGGGTACCCCGTGAGTTCGGGTTTTGTTGCCATCCAAGTCAACTAAAAACTAGTGGACGAGCTCTATATTTTTGTCTAGAAAAAATAAAGTGATTTCTATTTCATGACTTCCAAATACGATTTTGTAACTAAAAAATGATTTGCTTAAACGAAGCTAGGCTAGGGTTGAATCATCCTTTGGCTTAACAAGCTAGCACATCCATCTGTTATGGAGTTTCCGCCCATGCATTATGTTTGATTTGAAGGAATTGAAAGGGGAATCGGAAGATGATGAAGGAATTAGGAGAAAACGCACTGTTCTTGGATTGGACGCAGAGGTCGTGATTCATGCAGCAGGAATCCAGCCCGTCGCAGGGCTTCTCCCCTGGGCACCCGCTGTACAGCAGCCCGCAGTACTTCCCGTACCTCAAAAATGGCGGCACTGCATACATTCATTCATTCCAATTTCCATGCACACCAAATCCCTTAATTAATTACTAACCTCGATCGATCACCATCAAGTAAGTAAACTAATCATGCAAAACCATTGAATCAATTATAGTTTTACCGGAGCAGAACTCCGACTCGCACTTCCTGCTGCATTCCTTGCTCTGTCCAAACATTCACACTAGCTACTTGAGTTGGTCAAACAAGCTCGTTGTTATATAAGAAAAAAATAAGTATAGTTGATGAATTGAGGTAATAATATGTACACAATTTATGTTTACCAAAACGACGCCGCCGGGGCGATCGATGGCCTGGACGCCGACGGTGAGGCCGTCGACGGCGGTGGAAAAGAAGGAGAACAACACTGGTAGTAGTGGTAGAAGAAAGGAACAAGATACGAGATTAGTGGAAGCTGCCATCTCTGAAGTTTCTTTTTTGGGCGGAGAAAATGAGATCTGTGCAGCTAGCTAGCTTGGGTTTTCGTTAAAATTTAAGGCTCTGAATTTTATAGCAAAAAATTTAGCAGACGAGCAAAGGAGATGATGAAATTCAGAGTGCGCAGCAGAGTGAAGCAGAAGCGCCACAGCTGGATTTTGGGTTGGGAGGCGGAGGAGAGGAGGAGAGTCGTTTCCTTTGTCATGTACTGTCTCGTGATATCTGGTTTTGTATTCTTCTGCTCTATTCCGTTCACCACATTACAATTTTCTTTTCTTTCAGTTTATTCTTTCCTAAACCAGCTGTTGTTGCCACTGCGCATGGACTTCACACCTCGTCATCATTACCACGACCAACATTGAAAAATTCCTGACGCTCACAATGATGTGAAATCTGCAGCTATAACTCCAAACTATCATTGAGCTGCTGCACAATCATAAAGGTTGCTGGCAAAATCTGGCTAATGATTTCTCTTCTCATCAGCTGATCGAATGGTTTAGGGAGAATGGAAGGCATTGGACGGATACGGGGCGACCCTGGTTACGAGGAAAGAGCAGAGGAGGCGTCGTCGGGGGAGGGCTAGAGTTACCGAGTGGTTGAGCCAAAGAAATCTTTGCCCGCCACGTGCGACAAATTTAACGAATTTAGATGGCGAGTAAAGTAACCACAGATGACATAAAGGTGTAACATTGATGGCTGTCTTCCATCTCGGGGTCGTTGTTCATGCCAAACAAAAGAAACCATCCTGTGCATGAAACTAAGTTCTGCACCAACAGATTCGAGCAACCTCATTGCCAGATCAAGCCTCCAATAGAGGTCAAGATGAGCATTAGGAAGTTCATCATGGCTGGCGAAAAACATTCTGCATCAGCCTAGCAGGCACTGGTAGACGGTAGTAACCCTTCTTATTACCAAATCCGTGTCTAATCATGAGAGAAAACAACATACCAGAAACATCCTTCAAGACTACAAAAAGATGGCAATGCTGAAAGGCTCGCTAACAATGGGCGACTTCAAACTATTGAAACATCTTCGTCCTACACATTACTGTTCTACGGCACGCCTGTTTTGACACTGTTCTACAAACAGAGATTGCAACACATCACTCCAGTTGAGTCCTCCGCCATATCAGCTAACGAAACTACAATACTGGAAGAAGGAAGAAGAGCTCTCAGGAGAGGCATGGTATACCTTTTTTTTCCTCAATGGGAGCTAATGATGTTCTTCATTCCATCACAACTTTGGCACCAATAGCTTTCATCTTCTCGATTATCTTCTCAGCATCTTCCTTTGACACTCCTGCCTTCAACACCGCTGGCGTCTTCTCCACCAAATCCTTTGCTTCCTTGAGACCCAGATCAGTAAAACTCCTCACCTCCTTGATTATCTTAATCTTAGAAGCAGCTTCGTAAGATTCCAATTTCAACTCGAAGACGGTCTTCTCTGGTTTCTTTTCTTCCTTGGCAGCTGCTGCTGCTGACCCTTTCATTCCCATCCCAGCCAATCCAGCTGCTGCTCCGCCCTTTATAACTCCGACTGTAGGTGACTCTTTCATTCCTTTCCTTTTCATTATAATCGAGCCCAGCTCTGCAACTTCTGCCAATGTCAGCGAGGCGATTTCATCAACTAGCCTGAACACGCGCTCGGTGGGAGGGCTACGGTGCTCCGTTGGGTCAAAAGTGGCAGGATCATAGTCAGCTGGAAGCCTCCTTTGATCGATTTCTACTTCTTCCTCTTCATCCTCATCTTTCCTAGCAGCTTGAGCAAAGCTCCGAGACAACACACCGTTGATGCTTGCTTGACTTAAACCGGGAAGGTACGATTTTGCACACAACCCATTTGACAGATGATACCTTAATCTCACAATCAAACTCATCTCCCCGAAATTTATCTCTATTTCAACCCACAATTTTCCCTAGAACCTAAAAAGATTCCATCTCTCAAGCTATTGCTCAGGCGAATAAACCCTGAAAAAGGGAGAAGAGAATATTGAAGAAACACAGTGAATATAGAATGGGCAATCACAGCACCATTGGAAGGAAAAGAAAAACGCTCATAGGTCGCTGTTAAAAGCAATCAGGAAAAATTAGCATTCGAGAGCATAAGCCTAAAATTTAACTCCCTTACCATTATCAAAAAAAATTTAACTCCCTTAGAATCCCATTTCAGACGCGAAATTCGAGCGCAAAGCTTATTGCTTCTCACTTGATGCTAGTACAGTCGCAACAGGTCGCAACTCAAGTATCGACATTTCTAATTCCTTAAAAACATTCAAATGTTCTAACAAAGAGAACACTCGTCTCTACGAACAGATGTGTACGTACATAAACAGAAAGAGAGACAGAGACAGAGACAGAGACAGAGACAGAGACAGAGAAAGGGGAGTAACCTTTAGTCCGTGAACGGATTGAGGTCGGTGGATGGAGGACTGAAACGGCGATCTTTTTCAGGGAAGCGGAGGGGCGGCGGCGGTGAGAGAGCTACAAAGGTTCATCGAAAGGAAGGAAGGAAGGAGATGAACGGTTTCGATATGTCTTCGTAATTTCGATTTTCCGCTTTGAATTTTCATGGTTCAAAACGCCGTGGTTTGATTTGTTCTACTTTGAAATTTTGGAAGTATTAAAAATGGTCATATAACTTTGAAATTTATACAAAGTGATCATGTATCTTTTATCTTACTTAAAATGGTAGCATAAATTTAAGAATTTTTAAATATTTATAGCAAATTTATTATCATTTTGCCAATTCCTTAGATTCATAGACAAGTCAAAAGGTAACTAACATTTTAACAAAAAAAAAAAAAGTAACTCACATCGAATAAGCTGTTAGTCGTTATTTTTCTTGTACAGTTGTTTGCGTTTGTACTTCGTAGGTTGCCAATGAGTGTGAATGGGTGATTGATTAGCTTGAATGTACGAACTTTGATTGTTATTTATTTATCAAATTATCTGAAAAGCTTATATTTAGACAAATTTTTTAAGACGATTGATAGAATTAAACATTTTGTTATGAATTTTCAGAATTATGCTACCATTTAGGAAAAAGATAAAAGCTAAGCTAAGCATCATTTAGTAACCATTTAGGACAATTAGCCGAAATTCATTTGTGGTTTCCTGGGTGAACCACGGGATCATGCTTACCGTTCGGTTTTTTTGGAGACTCCCTGGTCGAACCGCACATTTACTCATTGTAGTTTTTTTTTGGTAAAACAAGAAAAAAAAAAACTCGCCAAAAACTCACCGTTTTGTTGTACAATAGTGAATGGGTTAATTGCATGGTTGGTCATTAAGATTACAAAAAACGTTCAAGTTTGGTCACTCGAAATATTTAAATCCATTGTTGGTACTTCAATTTACTGAAATCGTTCACGTTTGGTCACTCTTCGTCCAACTCCATTAACTTTTGCTTATGTGGCGGTCAACTTTAAAAGTTGACCGTTAAGTGAGTGATGTGACAATTAAAAAACTAATAAAATAATAAATAAATATTTTATAATTTTGGGGGCCGCTGAAGATTGTTCGGCTCCAGATCCATCCCTTTCGAGTTCCACAGCTTCAGATCTTCGACCTCGCAGCCAGCTTCCCACCGTTTCCTTTCCCAGCGACAGTTTCCTGTCTTCCTCCCTCTTCACCTGTTTTAAACCGGCGGCCGCCAACCACCACCTTCGTTTGCGGCTTCATCAGACCCGCTAGTAGCACTGCTAGCTCCAGGTTCACCCGCGACCCGGGCCCCATCTCCATCGACGACGTTTTCCTCAGCGTCTCGGTGGCCATCCCTAAGGTGAAACCTTCGTCGGTGAACTCTATCAACCGTCAGGTATGTACCGTTGATTGGTGATGTCGTCGAGGCTGACTGTTAGAAACGGAACAACAACAAGATCGAGGATACCGAATCTGGAGCTGAGTCGCGGACTAGGTCGCTCTCTTTAAGACGTTCGCGGCACTGCCCTTGATGCGCACGACAGACTATCAACCGGTCGTCTTCAGGATAAAACAACTCCTCTGTGTACTCGCGGTTTTGTGCGAAAACCGGAGCTCTCTGAACACTCTCTCTATTGTGTTTATGCTCGTTGTGGTGTGTTTAGAGGGGCTGGGGAGGCGGCTATTTAATAAGTCGGATTAATTAAGGAAGATAATTACTTCCTTAATTAAAACCGTCGGTTAGGATAAATCCTGCATCCTTCGAATATTCCTTTTCAATCGATTATCCCTTGGAATATTCCTCTGAATAACCGATTAATAATTAATTAATTTCGTTCGGAATTTCTCCAAAAATATGTATATAGTCTCAAGTGATCCATCCATCCAACCGACCGGACGGTGCGCGTGTGTGTGGTGGTCCGTTAGGTCCTCCCTCTCCCACAAAAGTGGGTCACCCCAAGGGGCATGCCCTTAGGAGAGAGGCTCCTATCTTTATACTCATTTCACCAAGTAAAACTACCAATGTGGTAGTTTTTCCACTTGAGACTCTATAGCTTTCAAAGCTATTCATACACATTTCCAACACTGACTACCGTTTTCACTCGGATCTGGAGCTCGAATCCGATGCCGTCTCCGTTTGTCCCCACTCCCAGCCACTTGAATTCCCCCCCCCCCAATTCTTCCACGATTCCGGTAAAGAGCGATTGCATCGTGAAGGAGGATCGTGGGTTGTTGTTGAATTTGGCGGTGGAGAAGTGGGGATTGGGTTGAATTAGCCGAAACCCCTATTCCCTTCCTCTTCCCGACTGTTCTCGACATCTTCCTCCTCAGACTCATCTTCTTCGTCGGAGCAGTTCTTCGAGATGAGTGCCGCCTTAGATCGGTTCTCAAATTCGCTCCGAATAGCGAGGCGGAGGAAGAATAAGATTCGTTGCCAGTGTTGGGTTTCGATTACCGAATGGAGAAAGGGAGTCTGAGGAGGCGAACTCGGAGAGAGGGTCGAAGTCGAAGGTGAAGGCGGTGTAGGTGGCGGAGGCGAACTCTCTGTACTTGAGGATCTCGGCGCGGCCGTGTAGGGAGCTTGGAGAAGATGGGCGAGTGGTTTGTGGGGGCGGATGTCGCCTCCGCCACCGGCGTTGCTATGTTTTTTGGCGGGGTGATTCGACTCTGTTTTTTGGCGGATGATGATTTGTGGCTGTGGTGGAGCCGTTTGAGAAGGATGATGATTTGCTGCTGTGGTGCAATTGATTGATAATGCAGGAAGCGGAGGAATTGGATATAGGAAATGGAATGTTTGATGGAAATTGAATATTTTAAACTAATAAAAATTAATATTTTAATTTTAATAATTTATGATTTTATTTTTATCTTTTTAATAGTTAGAAATGAGGTGGAAATTATAAAATATTAATTTTTATTATTTTATTAAATTTTTAATTGCCACATCACTCACTTAACGGTCAACTTTTAAAGTTGACTGCCACGTAAGCAAAAGTTAACGGAGTTGGACGGAGAGTGACCAAACGTGAACGGTTTCAGTAAATTGAAGTACCACCAATGAATTTTAATATTTCGAGTGACCAAACTTGAACGTTTTTTGCAATCTCAGTGACCAACCATGAAATTAACCCAATAGTGAATAGTCATACATTTTAAATTTTATAAGAAAAAGGAAAATGAAAAATAGACTATTATTCATCTCTGATTCTCTTCCCAACCTACTCTCACTCACACCATTGATGGCCACAGTTTTTCTAGAATGGAAGTAATCGAGTAAGAGAGGTAGGTCCAGCTCAGGTTTCCTTTTGGTCGCGGCAGTGGAAACAGCAAGGGTTTAAGCTTTCCCTCGAGCCACCTTAGCTCTCCGTTATAATCTCGCGCCCCCGCCCACAGTCAATGGAAGGTCAGGTCCCGAAGAAGCGAGGCCGGAAGCCGAAGCCCAAGGAGGATAAAGACCAACAGCAGCCACCGCAAGGCAAGATGAAGGAAGCGAAGCGCGGTCAGCACGCTGCTTCTGTTGACGAGAAGTACACTCAGTGGAAGTCTCTGGTCCCCGTGCTCTACGACTGGCTCGCCAACCACAATCTCGTCTGGCCTTCCCTCTCTTGCCGGTATCACTGCTCTTTCGCTTTGGTTCTTCCTGCCGTACCCCATTTCTCTAGGGTTTTGGGTTGATGAGTGGGAGTGGAGGGAAATGGAAGGAGTGTTCGTCGTTTTTCTCATTTAGGGTTTTTTGCCGTGTGGTGCATTGTTGTTTAGGGTTCTCGTTTTATCTGATTATTTAGGTATCAAATGGGATGTTTCTTTATGATCTTGGTTTGCTGTTACTTTTGGTTGTGTTATATCTGTTTTGAATTTTCTTTCATTGTTGGGCTTCATTGTTTCAGTGATTTGAGTAAATGTTCCTTCTTGTGGGCAGATGGGGTCCTCAGCTTGAGCAAGCTACTTACAAGAATCGTCAGCGCTTGTACCTCTCCGAGCAGGCGAGATCGAGATCCTTTGTATTGGGTTTTTTTCTAGGGTGGAAGTTGATAACATTTTAGGGATCTTTGGCGTCCTTAGACCTGCTGGCTTTTCCTAACATTGTTGTTTGTCCTGTTTCTTTTCATGGCCAGACTGATGGTAGTGTTCCAAACACACTTGTCATTGCTAATTGCGAGGTTGTGAAGCCAAGAGTTGCGGCTGCTGAGCACATATCTCAGGTGATTCTCTACCTTCCTGTTTCATGCGTGTATTTAATTTCTGCATGCAATGTTTCGGTTTTCTGTATAAGATGTACATGAAGGTATCCCTGAATCTTTATAATTGATCAGCTCGTACTAATTTTGGTCACAGTTTAATGAAGAAGCACGATCTCCGTTTGTCAAGAAATACAAGACCATTATACACCCTGGGGAGGTACGAGTCTAGGGAAAAAAAAGGGTTTATGAGCACACCAAGCATATGCTTCTTTCGTCGATCCTTTATTATCCTTAAGGTCGTACAAATCCATCTTTCATTTATAGGTGAACAGAATCAGGGAACTTCCGCAGAATAGCAGGATAGTGGCTACTCATACTGATGGCCCTGATGTGAGTGCACTTATCTTTTGAATTATGTATAAGGCTTGAGAGTGTATTAATTATAATATTTTTTTATGGGACTTATTACTTGTCTGGCAAGCTTATGGTTGCTTATTTAGTTGCAATGTAAACTGTTGAACTCAGGTTCTAATATGGGATGTAGAAACACAACCAAACCGGCATGCAGTCCTTGGAGCTTCGAACTCTCGGCCTGATCTGGTAAGGTGTCAAACTTAGCTGTCACTTCAGGCCTCAATTCAGTGTATTTTAGATTTTTTGTTCACCAACCATGGGATCAAACACTTGCATTTCTTCTTCATATGTCTATTTCACGGGTGTTTTCCCTTGGAATGAGTTACTAATTTCGGAATTAATTAGAAAACATATTAAGGTGGTGATGTTTGCTTATCTGTCTTCTTTATGGAATGTGGTGTTCCACCATGAGATTCAGTATGTGGTTGCAGGATTAGACAGTTACGTGTCAATGCATGCGGAAATTTTAAGTGGCCTCTGAAAAATGCTAGTTTTTTTGGGCTTTTCAGGATAAAAAGGTACTCTAATCGAGATTTTTTTTGCAGATTTTAACTGGACACCAAGATAATGCAGAATTTGCTCTGGCAATGTGTCCAACAGAACCCTTTGTGTTATCTGGAGGTTCGAATTTTCTTTCTAGTTATTATAGCTATAACAAGGACTAATTAGCACTGCTGCACATTTTGTTTTTTAGCATCTGAACGATTTTGATCTGTTTTTCTTTTATTGACCTAGGTAGTTGGTTTTTGTACTTTCACAGGATTGTTTGGTTGTAACTGTATCTATTTATTCAAAAGTTTGAACTGCGAGTTTTTCATGCAGGGAAGGATAAGTCAGTGGTTTTGTGGAGTATCCAGGACCATATCACATCCTCTGCGTCTGACCCAGCTGGCGGAAAGTCTCCAGGATCTGGTGGCGGCTCCATCATTAAAAGGGATGCTAATGACAAAGCTGTTGATGGCCCAACTGTTGGACCAAGAGGGATCTATCAGGGCCACGACGATACAGTCGAAGATGTTGCTTTCTCTCCATCCAGGTACCTTTTGCTGCCTGTGCATAGGGCTGACAGTTTCATTTTATGATACGAAGGGACTATCTTGATAGAATCCCGGCTCTTTTTAGAATTGGTCTTCATAATGTTGTTTATTACTTGATTTCATTGTTAAATTGTTCAATCTGAATGGACGTATATAATGATTGCGATGCTAAAAAGCAGATCTTTGAGTCTTGTTTCATAAACTTCTCTTCCTGATAATTTTTTTGCATTTGAAGTGCGCAGGAGTTCTGTAGTGTAGGAGATGATTCTTGCCTCATTCTTTGGGATGCTCGAGTTGGCACTAGCCCCGTTATCAAGGTATCCTTCTTTGCAAACTTATGGATTTTTTTGAATTGGTATTGTAGATTAGAATGCTGTTTGAATCATACTTTTGTGGACCTTGTTTTTCAGTTATGTTTGCATATTTTTCTATTGCTCTGATTTGCATGGTTCATCCCTTAACAGTCCTTGCCCCCTCCTCCATATTAACTAGTTATGATACCTGTACAACCCCCATTACTCTGATGCACTACTTATGATATCTATCGATTCTGTTAAAGTCATCCGCCTCTTGTTGGTTTTGATTTGTATAGTTTTCTTTGCCCAGTGCAATGGATGCCCCAGGTGTGGCTAGTGAACTAACTTAATCTTCTTTTAAGTTGGCCAAATATATGTTGTTTTCAGCCAGTATGTGTTCGATCTACTGTGTTTTAATTTCCAACCTAGAAGTTCAAATGGGAACCTTGTGCATTTGCTAGAATCCTTGGAAGATCTGAAATTGTTTTTGTTTTTTTGTTTCTTCTTCTGCTTCTTATTGATATTTGTTAAATTATTTGTTGTGCATTCTTATTCCATGTGACAAAAGGTTATATTCTCTGGTTGGGGTCTTTTGGATCCAAGTATGGAATGAACCTGCTTTGGGCTATCTGTTGTGATCATAAATCCAGAATGTGATCTCATGTCAGATATACATGTTTAATTGGAGTCTTGGAGGCAACATAATTTGTTGTTCTGACGTTTTGGGGGAAATTTGTTGGCAGGTTGAAAAGGCTCAGAATGCTGATCTGCACTCTGTTGATTGGAGTCCACATGACAGCAACTTTATTCTGACTGGGTATGCTTCGACATTTTCTATGTGCAACTGCTGCCTATATTTATCTATTTAGTGAACGCTCTGCTGCTTTCTTTGATCCTTCTGTCTTCCTTTTCCATCTGCAACTACCCAATTCTTATGTATTATATCTTTTGTGTACTGTTGCTCGAGGTACATGTTGTAAGATGTACCATTGTGGCTATACAGAGACACGAAACATTTCAAATGCCTTTAATGATTGTGTCACTTCTCTTCAGTTCTGCGGACAATTCTGTTTGCATGTTCGACCGGCGAAGCCTCACCAGTAACGGAGTTGGCTCACACGTTCATAAATTTGAGGGCCATAAAGCTGCTGTTCTTTGTGTCCAGGTTTAGTGTCTTGTCATCTCAGCCGTTTTCTTTACTTTGTCATTTCTAGTCGAGCCAGTTCAACTGAAAGAGCTAAGCTAACTAATATGTCTAAATATCTCCATCCACTTTTGTTTCAGTGGTGTCCCGACAAGTCATCTGTCTTTGGAAGTTCTGCTGAGGATGGGATCCTAAATATCTGGGATTATGAGCAGGTAGGGTTCCAGATTTCTTTCTTTATGTTTGAGCTTGTTGTATTCTGACTTTGGAGTTTGCAGTTCCTTTATGGCCAGTACAATCTTGTCTCTCTTAAACTTAACTCCATAAGCTGGTAACATGGTGATAGTAATAGTATACTGACTTGGTGCTTATTATTTGATCTTCATGTTATACGGGCTATAAAATTATTACATTTTTCGTGTTTGTGTTGTTCCATTTAATTCTCTCTCAGCTGTGTTACAAATAATTCTTTTGATGCGTGTAGATTGGTAAAGAAACAGATGCAAAGGCCGCAGGAGCTCCTGCAGGATTGTTTTTCCAGCATGCTGGGCACAGGTTCGATATTCAGCTTTGTCAATTTAAACTGAATACTATGGCGTGCCTTTCTTGCTACAAAAAAGTGACTTATGTTCGAAGTTGTGGTAAAAACCAGCGCTTGGTAAGGGGTTTAGGAAATATTGAGTTGATGTGATGTGCTATATTTGTTTAGTAATGAAAGAGTATCAGGGTGAATAGAGTGAAAAAATGTTTTTGAGCTTTTATATAGGAAGTTGAAATCAAACACCAGCCGCTATCAGTTTCATTCTTGTGTTTAGTTTACAAGTTTTATCTTTAACTTGTTTGATATTATCCTTTTGAATGTAATTAGGGACAAAGTGGTAGACTTCCACTGGAATACACATGATCCTTGGACGATTGTTAGCGTATCTGATGATTGTGAGACTAGTGGTGGAGGTGGCACCTTACAGGTATCAATTCTCCACCCCCCGCTTAAACTGGCTTAAAGAAATAACAAGTCGTCCGGAGCTTACTAATTCACAACTGGAAAACTGGGTTTGGTACAGATATGGAGGATGAGTGATTTGCTGTATAGGCCAGAGGAGGAATTGTTGGAGGAGCTTCAGAACTTCAAAACCCATGTGAGTAAATGCACAGCCAAGAACTGAAAGGGATAGACCGCGAATTCGGAAGCAACGAACCACATGGTCTGTCGGTTCAAGCGATGTTTGTCATCATGAGTTCCCTTTCTGTTTTGGTACAGCTTTTGTGCGACTGTAGGAGATTGCAGGAATTGGTTTAAGAAGGTAGTGTAAGAGAGGGATATGATCCTTCTGTTCTGTAGGCTTTTCTTTCTATTATGGTTTGTGAAAAATGGTTAAGTTGGGGAAGGTGTTTAATATCATAGGCTTTGGAGTAGCCCGTAAATGGCCGCTCAATGTCTTAAATGATGAAGTTTGGCCACCCTACCGTTATTCTTCGGTGCTAGCTTTGGTCCCTCTTTTTTTTTTTTACAGGTCTCTTGAAGGCTGACGAGATTTGTTCCCTCCAACAAGTTCTATTAGTCCTCTCTTAAACTTAACTCAGTAATTGAGGCTACATGCTTTGATTTGTGTAATGGTAGAACTGGTGGCACAACTAGTTTGTGCTGTTGTGTCGTCAATACCGGTTTAACAAAATATGTACAAATGTTAAAACCCTTAACATTCAATGAATTTAATCATATATGAAACATATTTGAGAACAATTTATTTATAATTTAACTAATGACATCAACTTTTAACGTTTAAATTCATAAACTTAATAATAATTTGATTTTTTATTAATTAAATTTACTAAAGCGTCATCATTTTGCTTAAAGTATGTAAATTGATCAAGTTGGCCATACAGGTGGAGTTATGTCGGTTTCATGACCAGTACCTACCAGTTCAACTAGGTTCAATCGGCCGGCATGCCACCGCCCACCGGCATGACAACCAAGGTCAATGTTAATGTGTTTTTGTACTAAAATCATGATTTAATCGTAGTTCATTTGGTTCATACTGCTATAATTGCTTCGGTTGGAGTATGATATTCGATACTTCTGGCATGGTATTCAGTCTCCGTTTGGGGTTTTGGGCCTTGGACTTCCATCCTACTCATCCTTTTTCCGTTTCTAATCAAAAGTTGAAAACACATATTCTGAAGCAAGAACAGAATCTGTGATTTGAGTGGGAATGTGTAGTATTAATGTAGCAAACTGATCCCTACACCCAATAATAAAAGGAATTAATAATTACTTATGCTCAAAGTCAAAGATGGAGACAGTTATTAAAAGTTTTGGTTTCCCAAAACAGAGCCATCATAAATCATAATGATAATCAATACCCTCCCTCCCCAACTCCTAACGTTCATTGGGCCTAATTAATTAATTGTAATTATTTACACAAACTGATCTCTCTCCTATTGCTTAGTAGTTAGTACAAGTAGTAGTAGTTCGTCATTACTACATCATTAAATCCCACCATTTACCAACATAATATCATCACCAAAAGTTAAAAAAGAATAAGAAGTTACATTACATCTCCAATAATAACCGATGCCCTTATGACATGCTTGATCTCCTTTGTTTTATCTCGCGACACCATGAATCGGTGGAATTCGCAATCGACTGTACGTATGGTAAAATACGTACTAAGGTTCAGCAAGACATTGAAACGCGAATGAATATGATTATCGTTTTCGTTGACTAACTAGCTAGCTTGCTTTCCAACCATCGATTTTCGTCTGTCTGTAGAATGAATAATCTAGGTACTCAATTAATCGAAATTAGAAGTTCTCCGATACCAAAAAAAGATCTGAATTCTGAACCCAAAAAAAAGCCATAGCTAGCCAGTACTCAACACGACTCGACTCGACTACTCTCATCTCCATTCTTCTCATTATTCCTCCCTGCCTATAAAAATCATCTCATCACTCTCATCTCAACTTCCTCCATCTAACTCAAAACCCTCCACCCCCAATGTTATAATAAGATTCCAACCAAACTATCCATCATCTCCATTTCTGTTTGTGGTCAGGCTAGCAATGGAGGACGACTGCCACACGAGCTGGCTTGGCCTCGGCCTGAGCATCACGACCCAACGCCACGAAGATGATGATGATGATCGATATGAACCGGCCATGAAGCAGCCGATCATTAGTAACCACAACTTTTCCCACGACGAATGCAGGGAGAAATCTTCCGTGCCTCGTTTGGACCTATCATTCAAGCTTTTTCCTAACGGAGCTGGTAGAGATTTAGTGACGAGATCTTCGTCGTCAATCGATACTGAAGGGCAATGCAAGTCCGGAGGGCGTAAAGTGATGGTGGATGGGAGAAAGAAGCTGCGGCTGAGCAAGGAGCAAACCAGCTTGCTCGAGAACACATTCAAACTCCAAACCACCCTCAACACGGTATTCATTGATTTCTCCTCTACCCTCTTCCTTTCTTTTTTCCTTTCTCGTAGATAGTAATTGAGTCGGCGGCAAATGCATGATTCAAAGTGAACGAATAAAGGGCGAGAAAGTCGGAAATTTTCATCATTTTCAAAATTGAACCTAAATCTTGAAGAAAGGAATAAATAACAACCCTCATCTTCATGCCACTTCTCAATATCTTCTCGACATAAACAAACATACATATCAAAACTTCAATCCAGATATTGGGATGAAAAACAATGTCCTTTCTGTTGTACACGTGGTTTCGCCTATAATTTAAATCATCTATTGATAAAAAACAAAGAAAATGACGTACCTTGCGCTATCATTCATATGACTAAAAAAATGGACATTCACCTGATCCGTTATAAGACTACGTAAAGGTATCTCTCGTCATCGAATATTCATCCCAGATTATTAGCTTATTTTCCCCCCTACATTTTACTTATAAGGTATAAGTTATACCCATGGTTGTCATACCTGCCGATCATGAAACCGGCATGACACCACCGGTATGATCGACTTACGCATTCTAAGCAAAATGATAATATTTGTTGGATTGCAACTAGATTGTCCACAAATTTATTTTATATAAGATTAAATAAATTGAATATTAACGGTTATTTCATTTGATGCGGGGCGTTTCTATTTATGATCGTTGAATTTTGACGCGAAAGATACGGATATAAAATTCTGGTCAACTAATTATAAACCTTGTAATCGGACACTCTTCCATATCGGTCATGACTGGGCAGTGATGAATAATTAATGCATGATTTTTATTATTATACTATTAATATTTGTGATATTGTCAGTATTTTGGTTCTTTTAATTTGGTTAATTATGATGATCAGATTAATTAATCAAGTTAGTTATGGGTGATGGCACAGCAGGCACAAAAGCAGGCACTTGCAGAGCAGCTGAAACTGACTCCAAGACAAGTTGAAGTCTGGTTCCAGAACAGACGGGCCAGGTAATTGAGTTCATTCATCTGCACGATACAATTCTACGGTTCATTTACTAGACTTAAAGCTAAGGTTCAAGAAGGTCATAGGCGTAAGCTAGTCGCTGAGGTTTTGCCTAACTAGTACATAGCACGTTTGAGCGATGGAAGCAAAAATAGCAGTTTGTACTAAATTACGAATGAAATCGTTGCTTTGCAACACTTCTACTCTAGTTTAAATTACTAATAACTTACTTAGCACTTGAAAATAAGGAGAGAAAAAACTCACAAGTAAAGGTGGCAAATGGATTGGATTGGTGGATTTGTGAGTTGGATTGGCGGATCCATGGATCAAATGGATTGATGGATTGGATCAAGTGGATTGGTGGATTGATCCATGAATCCAAATGAATTACAAGTCTTGGACCATTGTGTAAATTTTGAAGAATTTAGGTACTAATGTCATAATGAAAAATTTTAGGTACCAAAACATAATTTTCAATGATATTTTTCGTATAAAAAAATAATTTTTAGATGCCAAAATGTAAAATTTAAAAAGTATAGGTACCAAATTGTAATTTATCATTTGGATCCACGGATCAATCCATGAATAGTTGGATTTAAATGGATTGGATTAGTTGGATATTTAAGTTGATGGATTGGACTAGATTGATTGATTGCATCACAATTTGCCACATTTACTCACAAGTAATAGAATTATAGGTTAATAGCTCAGAAAGTTCTTGAGGTACTGAAAGAATTGAGTTTGTAGACGATGTTAATATCTCCAATTCGGTATTGATTGTCTAGCTCCACCTAATTACACCTAGGTCTCGTTGCTGTACTCCGCCATAATGTTACGGATTTCTAACTTGTTGCAGTCCCCATAAACAAAGCGTTTTGTCGTTTGCCTACAATCAGGTGCAAGTTTAAAACGTGCCTTTTTGAACCATGGAGGTAAGCAATTCAATTTGTGGTCACTAATGCACGCAGGACGAAACTGAAGCAAACAGAAGTGGACTGCGAGTTCCTGAAGAAATGTTGCGAGAGCTTAAGCAACGAGAACAAAAGACTGAAGATCGAGCTCCAAGACCTGCGCCATAAAAAAAATACTGATTCATGCCCTCAAGCCTTGATGGCGATGACGACGTGCCAGTCCTGCCAGAAACGAAACGTTTCGTCGAGCGGAACCGACAGCAGCGATGGTGGTCAACCGTATGATAATCATAATAAACCACAACAACAGTAATAATAGATTATAGAAAAATTAGTAGCTTGTAATAATAATGATGATAATATTAATTAGGTAGAGTTAATTAAGTAATTAACAAAGAGGAGGTTTAATTTGGTGGTCCGTAAGAAAAGAAATACATCGACCGGCTTTGATGTGATGCGGAAATAGCATGCAAGGAAATTAATGATAAGTTTAAGTATACTTGGCATTGGTGGAAAAGTCTAGTATTAGTAGGGTGTGGGTTACTTTGGGGCAACATTGTCGTAACCGAACCGGAGCATGACCCGGTATTGCGAACGACTCATATTTTAGTGGTCCAACCGGCATTAGACCGTTTAAAACCGTTAGAGAACCGGTACCTAATAAACGCTATAAGTATAAATAGGGGACATTTCTTAATCAGAGCTCGTCTCTTTCCTTTGAATTTTTGAAATGGAAATAAGGATTCAGTTTGAGAGCCCGACGTTTTTTTTGTTTATTTCAATTTTCTGCAATTTTTTTAATTAAATTTAACGGCTGAATGGCAAAAACCGGACGAACGGCTCGAGCGGTTAACCGTCTCAGCCGCTCGTCAACTGCTACATAAAACTGGAGCGGCTTTTAGACTGTTCCGAGCCGGTTTTGTGACCGAGTGGCGGATTTACCGATCGGGCCGAGCGGCTCGACTTTAATAACATTGCTTTGGGGGCTTTTGGACCGTTTGGTAAAAGGGGATTTATTATAACTTCATGATTAATTAATTGATCTCTTAATAAAAGGGGATTTATTATATTTTTAGTTATTTTCAATAAGTGCTAAACTAATTTCAAATTCAGAGAAGGACTGGGCCGTGTTACGGGATGGCCAATCGTATGAAAGAAGGTAATAAGAACACGACTTTCTTTCATGCCAAGGCAACTCCCAGAAGCAAAGAAACAATATCAGACAACTTGTGAGAATGGATGACAGAAGGTA